TGTATCCACTAAGTGGTGACGATGGTCATATAGCACATTTCCAGCAAACGTTGTATTTATGTGCGATTTAACCAATATTTTTCCCTTGAGGACTGTAAAGCTGAAAATAATCAAGTACTAGGATGTAGAATAGTTTTAAAATGTACTTGATCACAGGTTTCTCTGCTATCGTATGTTGTACTTGGATCATACTGATAATAAATACTCTGTTTGTATTAAAGTGTCCCACAGCCGACGCGACACCAGGACCCTCAAACTGAATGGAATGCAGCCATTTATCAGACACACACGGCTTCTGCTACTGAGAGTTGTCCCCAGCTCCTCCTCCTCCTCCTCCTCCTCTTCCTCCTACCTGTCTCCACACCTGCTCCCTGTCCCCTGGTTTAGTCACATGCTCATAGCTGGTTCTGCTCAAAAGCTACCAGAGAAAATCACAGTTTCATGTGACCTGTGTTCAAGTCTGCAGGGGCACTTTTAAGGGAATTAAGACCATTCCAGTGTAAGAGGTGTAGAAAAACGTTTGGTATCGGCCGTTCGCAGCGAGAAACCCTCACGGGACGAGACATAAACCTATAACAAACATCACTCCTTTAAACCCCGTTTCCTCTATGGAGTCACAGGCTCTCTTTTACGTCGATGGATGTTTTGGCCTCCTCCTCGACACAGAACCAGGCACCAAAAAGAAAAAGTGGGACTTGTTTTACTCTCCTCGCTGGTCCGTCAGACAGAGAATGAGATTAGAAACAGAAACCTTCACAGCGGCCTCGAGGATGAGATGAGATAAGGAGAGGAACCACAACATCCATGAAAGCGCTTTTGATTGAGTTCCTTTTGAAAGTCCAAATAAGTATAACTATAACTATTTTGGGGGAAATTACCTTGTTTCAATGAAGTCCAATGGAGAGGAGAATGATGGAATGTATAAAAGAGGTTTGAAGTTAAGGATTTCTTTGTTTTGTTGGCAGAAACAGGAGTTAAAACAGCAGCTGCAGACAGTTTGGTGACGTGTGCACTGCAGCTGAGACGCACACACACTTACACACCTACACACAGGCAGGTTGGGACTGCAGGCGGCACATGAACCAAACCCTTTTTTTCAGCATTGTTTGTCACACGGACATGAAAGTTGTGTCAATCTCACGGTAAGAAAGTGTATTTCCCTGTGTGGTGGAAATTTGTGGATTTAGCCCATGTGAGAACTCAAAAGTATCTTGAGCTTGCTTTGTGATTAAGTATTTATTACTAACTAGAATATAGAAAAAAGATAAAGAATACAGAAATCATCAGCACAAGTCGTAAGCACAGACAGAAGTCAAATGACTACAATTCAGCTGAAAAGGGACAGATGTTCCTTCCCCCAAAAGGAGCAGGAAGATCTGACAAAGCTGAAGAGGAGAACAGGAGCTTATGTACACTTCAGGGAGGTTTGTGGAGACAGGAGAGCCCACCCCTCAAGAGGAGTGTTGGAAAGGTACCGGAAGATGTAGGGGTGACCCCGTGACCCTCCCTTTATGGACCCAGACAATCAACAATATCTAAAAGGTCAGTCAGGGCACGTATGATTTCATCTGTGTCTTATCTCACCCTGGACTGCCTTAAGTCACCGGCTCACATCAAAGGTCACATTCATGAGAGCCTCACCCCACGCAGGCTCAACCATTTTCCCTTCTATATTCCACCAGATTAAAGTAGAAGCTTTTCCTGCCGCCTCTTGTGTTCCTTCCAGGTTCACACCAGCTTCCATGCGAGCTCAGCGAAAAAAAAACTAAATAGCAATCTGAGTTTTTTTAATCTCAGTCAGCAGAAGCGCTGGACGTGTTGTGTCACAACATCGGAGTCCCGCGTGCACAAAGAACACTAACCAACTCTTGCAGCGTTTAGCGTCCTCAGAGCTGCTGACGCAGGGTTCCTCGGCCCCCGGGGGGGCCAAACCCGACATCCAAGACCGGACTTGATGAAACCACACAGAGTGGAAGTGCTTTGGTTCGTGCGTGTGTGCGTGTTTAATCGTTCCCGAGGGGCTGCTTGTCTATCTGTACCCTCTCAGGCTCCATGTGTCTCCTTCCTGTCGTGTGTTTTGTGTATCATCACGTGCGTCTCTTCGCAGCAACGAGGAGATTGATAAAAAGAGTTCCAGACAATCATCTCGTCGAGAACTTTTTGATCCATATCCGTGCACTCTTTGCAAAACAAAGCTGCTGAGCCGGCACGACCTACGCGGCGCTGCGTGGTCGCTTCTCCCTGAACATGTCTGGACGGCGTGTTTTGACTGCGTCTCCTCCGCTCACGTTTGTTGTGTTTGTTGCACGCACTGTCTTGAGGGAGGTGAGTACATGAAAATGGACAAAGCTCTGAGGCAGTTATTTTAGATCATCCAACATTGTTAACATGAGTTTATGGTCTCAATCTCTACTTTTAAGTCCTTTTCGATACAGCTTTACAGGTAGAGACGGTGGGCCGGGAACCTCAAGGTTGGTGGTTTGAGCCCCGGCTGCTCCATGTCCCATGTCAAAGTGTTCATGAGCAAGACACCCAACCCCGGCCAAAAATAAAAAAGCCACAGGTTAAAAAGCAATGTAAATTGCTTCAAGTAAAAGCGTCAGCTAAATCAGTGGTCCCCAACCGGTACCGGTCCAAATTCAAACTGCTGAACTGGAGGCTTCACCCCGAGTGCGTCATCTGCTCATCAACCCTGGATGGTTCTCACGTGACCCGCAGGCCGCCGGAGTCCTCCAACACACTTGTGGAAGGGTGGAGTGAGCGGAAGGTGTTTTCAGTTGGTTGCAATCTGCCAACCGGCCACTAGGTGTCACTTAATCGCACACACCGCTTCTTTAAATGTCGGTAGTTATCGAGCTCTTTACTCTGGAGTTAAATCCAAGTTAACATTAATTGTTTATTCTTTTATTCATCTCATCTTTTATAAAAAATTGAGTTTGATGCACAGTGAATGTTTGGGTGTGTTCAAAGGTGGAAATGTACGTACATCAAAACATGTTCTGTACTATAATTTGTTACGTGAGCCGACAGCAGTCAGACGGTATCCACCGACTTCATGCAGCTCTTCTTACAGGTTGCTGCGCGAACAATTTACACATGCTTTCATGTGTAAATTGGCATTACGATTCTGACTGATGGAGTTTATTTTACCCACTTTTAATCTATGTTAAAAGTGGGTAAAATAAACTATGTGTTAAAGAAGAAGCGGTGAGATGGTGAAGGGAGGTTTTTAGACTCACGTCCAGCCACAGCAGGAGGACGAAGAGGAAATACCCGGCACCGACTTAAAGGGGCAGTTTGCTCTCGTCAGTCAAACTGCACATTTCTGCCGACGGGCCGCGACCTCCTGGTGATGAGTGTGTTTGTTTTGGCACACGGGACGGGATCTGACAGCCCCCCCCACCCCTCCCCCCCTAACCACAGCCCACCCCACCACCCAAGGGACCCGCACATAAACACAGACTCACATATTAGCAAGGTACTGGTCAGCTGAGGTCAGAGTGTGTGAGTCTAGCATGCTAATATGCTAACATGCTATGCATGGCGCAGTCCGTCAGGTCGACACCTCGCCCAGCGGGTCGTCCAATCACAGCGTCCCTATGTGAACATTACAGGCTACATGGGGGGCTACAATCTGCTGTTGGCAGGCGGACGTGGTCAGAGCTCTTTATCCATTCACGGACCCGTTTGACCCTCCTGTCACGACTCTCAAAAGGACATGAAGTGAAATGCAACATACACAACTACAGTGTAGCGCGTACAAACACACACGTACACACTCTAACTGGGTTACATACTTCCCAAACACTCAGTGAATGTCAGTAGCCAGGAACAAAACGAATGTACTAAACGTTTTCTTTCTCACAATGGTGTGTGTGTGTGTGTGTGTGTGTCTATCATGAGGACTGTACTGACAATGCTGTTGTCTGTGGAGTTTGTGTGCTACACAGTGAGTCTTTGTTCAGACCCGGGGGGGCGGCCCGGGACTCAAACCTCAAAACGAAGCCAACCAGAGTTTCCATCTGCAAACCGCTTGTTTTATATACGTCTCCACTCAAGGATGAAGGTCCACAAGGGAGGTCTTGCACGTTTTAGCTGCTCGTGCGCAAACTGTATTGATGATGTCCTCCTGTTCGTTCAAGTGTCCCTGTCCTTCTCTGCAGGAGCTCCAATCGCCTTCGCGGTCCAACAAGCTGCTGCTGCTGCTCTTACTGGACCTTCTTCTACGTCAGCCGCTCCTTCCTGCAATTTCTAGAGGACACCCCGACTCGCCCCCTCCATCCCTCACGTGCAGAAGCATTCGTGAAAGTGTGCACATCCTGAGCCCACAGCGCCCCCTGCTGTTCACATCCTAATGGGTTTTGTAGTAGAGCTTAAAGACATTGAATTAAACTGAAATTTAATTTAAGCGCATCAAATACAGGAAAACATTTTGTAATGAATAAGTACATTTCTTCTTGGTTTCCCTTAAGAGGGAAATGTTTTATTTAGCAGCTCCTCTGGTTGAACCCGCCTGTTTTTAAAACATTTACTAGGTTGAATTAAAACAAGGAAAGCAAATGAAAATGGTTTAAAGTGCGCTGACAGGATCAGCACAGACGTTTGTTTGAAGGGAGAAAAACTCCTCCAATGTTTAAATTAAATTCTTCCTCACTAAGAAAAACAGTAGTGGAACTAAAATAATATTCTTTGGGAAGATAATTATTTTGAGTAGTAGAGATGGTTCAATGGCGTTAAGTCGGACTCAACCATTCACACAATAAGATTTAAACGTGCTCTACTAAACGCTAGAGCAGGGAGCGAAGGGGTATTAACCAAGATCTCACTAAATATGACATTTGGTTGACTTTTTTTAAAGATGTTTATGAAGCATCTTTCTCATATTCACACAAACATGCAGATCTTCCAGAGAAAACAAACTCAGCTCTCTTTTCCCATAATAAATGACTATGTAACGCTTCTAGTAAAGCTAATCGATGATGCCAATCAAACAGACTCAGTGAGGCTGAAGTGATTTTATTTCCCCATGAACACAACATGAAGACCGTTTCATTCAGTTGATCAACTGATTGATTAACGCGACTTGTGGTTTCACTGGATAGTGTAGTGTGAAGATGGACCTCGGAATGTTCACTTTAATGCTAACGTTTGTTTTGCAGCTTTTTATTCAAACCGGAGCGGCTAAAAAAAACAGCAACAGTGCTTTTAAGGTCCTGAAGTTAAAAAGTTCTGTGTCTGCGATGCGGAACCTGAACATGACGAACAGACACTGGAACTGTAGGAGAAGCTCGTCACGCGGGAGAGGAGCAGAGCACAGAGCTGCAAATAAAGACGAAGTGCCGATGACATCACAGCGACAGGAGGTCTGCCCCCAACAGGGGTATTATGTGGTTATGAGATGGAGGGGGGGGGGGGGGGGCGCTGGGGGCCTCAAGATGCTTCTTCAAAGAACTTGGATGTTTGCATCAGCAGTAATTACTTCCTACAGAAACCACAAACACACACAGATGGAGCACGTCAGCTGACCTGTTCTGTAAAATGCGCAAGTCATCAGATTCCCGCAAAACTGTTTCTTGAAGACGTCTAATAAGAGTAATAGACTTGACTAGAACAAAAGAATGGACAGTTTATGGAGCTCTAATCACACGTCTGTGTGGACTTTCACACTTGGTGCCCATCACGTCACCTGCTCCACGCACGTGTTCCTTCACTTGGTGCCGTTGTACTTGACCTCCTTCCCGCACTTCTTCAGGGTGTCGGTGAGAGACTCCACGTCTCTGTCGGACTCGATCCACACCAGCTTCTTGGGAAGGTCGATCTCGAACTTCACATCTGTGAGAAAAAAAAAGGCCCCTTGTTTTATTACGGGAAGCAGCAACATTCACCATGACAGGCCTTCATTCTAAGGTGGGTTCTGTTCATAAATGGCATTTCTGAATATACATCCTTCTCCAGTCCGCCGACAGGGGAAATCTAATTGAGAGGATCACATACGGCGCTTCCGGAAAGTTTTACAGCGCTGCACTTTTTCCACATTTTGTTATGTTACAGCCTTATTCCAAAATGGATTAAATTCATTATTTTCCTCAACATTCTACACACAACAACCCATAATGACAAAGCGAAAACAGTTTTGCAAATTTTTGCAAATCTGTTAAAAATAAAGAACGAAAACATAACATGTACATAAGTATAATAAGGCTGTAACATAACAAAATGTGGAAAAAGTGCAGCGCTGTGAATGCTTTCCGGATGCGCCGTATCGGCACCAGGTACAAAAAAACAGAAGCGTCATCGAGACCCTCCATATTTTAAAAGAGAGCCAAATAAAAGGGTCGCTGCATCAGGGGACACGTCCGCTGAGTCACCTTTCAGAGACGAAGAGGTCATGAGTCGCCGTTGATGCAAGGGCCTTTCTTCTTTACGCTTTAGCTTCATTCATTTAACATTAAGGGAGGCAAATGATACACACTTGTGTCGGGTGTTTGGCTGGTTGGAGGTCTGTAAAAATGCTAAATTATTTTATCATGTTTATCTGTTAGCATTCCAGAAAGAGCTGAGTCACACAACTAACCGATAATCGAAGTGTCGAAGACCAACGTGTAACCCGAACAAGAAAAACTTTAGATCAAAGATATGTGGATTATTTTCAGGAAAATATTCAGAATTTACGTCTTTAAATATGCTGTTTAAGTAAATAAATCTCCCTTAATAAGTGCATTTTCTAGACATGTGCACTTGGTAGTAGCAGAATGATCAAAAACTGAGCTGTTCGCACACTGGATGGCTGGTAAACTCTGAAGTTCTTTTGGTTTTAAGAAACATTGTTCACAAGTTAAATAAAATAAGAAAAAAGAATGCAAAGGCGGTACTATTTTTAGATGGGTGTCAAAGACTGATATTAGGTTACTTTATACAGAACTTAAAGCCACATATTGATAGAAGTGTATTGATGAACTCTATGATGAGTTCGAGGACACCCGTCGGTCTCACCTGGCAGTTTGGTGAGAATCCTGGTAACGGCTCCGGAGCATCCCTCACACGTCATCGCCACCTCAAACTCGTGCTTCTGTTAGAGACAGACGAACCTTCGTTAGGAACTTAATATTCCAACATGACTATTCTACATAAATATAAACATTCTTACAGGTAACGTTATATAGCGTTACACGTTCTACACGATGTGCTGTTGTCTTAATCAGTTACCGTTTGGGGGGCTTGTGATGGATAAACAATTCCTTGATATGGCGAGAATATTATGTGAGATCAGAAATATTTGACGTCGATTGCAGCATTGATTAACGTCAACAGTCACGCTGTTCCCCGTCGGGTCAACGAAAATAATCGATAACGGTGTGATCGATGGAAGCAACTGTAAAGAAGCTAACTGAGTGGGGTTCGGTAGCGAGCTAGCTTGAGGGCTATTTAGCAATGCAGAAAGGAAGTGCGCAGTTAAACCGACACTAAAGCTAAAGCAAAGTGAAAATAACCGCCGTTACTCACGGTCATGTTTGTAGTGATGTGGCGAAACCTGATTGTCGGACGAGCTGTGGACTTTTGCCTCTGACTGACGAGCAAACGTCGCTCCGGAAAAAACTCCACAAATGTCCACTAAACTGGTGTGAAGCTAGCGTTGATCGATGCCGTAACCGGATATCCGGTTTGGGGGAAAATAGAATTATTTGTGGCAGAGGGACGTATTTATATGCTGCAACTTTGGGAGAATTTGAAACCGCGACAATGATATGACGCCAATATGTCCAGGCAATTTAATGTCTGAAGAATATTGACTCAAGTATTATATTAAGTCCGTTTTATTCTGCAAGTAAACCAGTTTCCGGGTCCTTTTATTTTGGCTGTCTCACGCTAACTTGAAGCAAGGCAAGCTAACCATCACCTGGGTGACTTGACTTTTCCTATTTATTGCACATTTCAATACCCTTTTCAGCTTATGTTTTCTAAGTAACCGGATTAATGTGTACATGGAGAAAGAGTACAATACATACAAAAGCGTAGACTCTAAACTTGGCCTGAATCAAGCGCTTTCAATCGTAAATATTTCAAAATAAAATGAGTGCCGAGTTGTTTTGGGTTTTTATCACAAAACATTGATTTCAATATACAATCAAAACGCACACCCATCAAGGCTCCTGCTAAAACATAAACAGTTATTGTAAATAAAAAAAGAATAGTTACTTGTATGTAGCTATATAGTGTCTCTTCCATCCCCCGAAAGGTGAATAGTTTTCCCCTTCAGAAATACACATGGAATAATGTGTAAGCTTTAGCAAAAACATAAAGTTTTCTAAAAATGTAAGTTACGTGTCAGATACTAAAAGTGACGCTTTCAAAAGTTTTAAAGGGTATCTATGGCAACGACGCGTCGAACACAGATCGTGACACCACGTCGTCGGCCGGGTCACGTGACCACGCCTTTGGCTCGGGAGGACACGCAGAAGAGCCCCAGCCGAGTCCGGTGAAACGTTCAATCAGTGCGAGGTCGCCGCTCCGTAACCGACTGACATGACGGCCAACGGAAACTAAGAGGTTCTGCGACGACGTTAGCACACACCCCCCCCCCTCCCCCGAGGTAGGTTGTCCGTGACGAGCGTGAACTCCGGCGGTGTTTGCCTACACGGAACACATAGCGCTAGCTAACATGGGCTAACCTCGGTAGCTGTCAAATGTTAAAGATGCTACGTAAGATGCTAACGTACCGCTACGCGCCCATGCTAATAACAGCCTTCTCGTAGGGTTGTTTAGGTCATCGTATTTGACCCTAACGCCAGTAACGTTGCCATTTTTTTTGCCTGTACTTTCTTTCCTGCGTTTGTCTTCCCTCTGAGGTAAATAACATTTTAACCGTTTGTGTGCTGGTCTGTTTAAATGCTATCTGTCAGAGGCGTTGGGTGCTGGTCACGAATTGACATTTAAAAAACATCGAGGAGTGTAGGAAGACGCGCTTGTTTAGTTAGACCGCACCCTGTGCGAAAGCGGTTGGATCTTCATCATCAGCAAACAATGGAGACAACGCCAACTTTATTATTTCCTTTTTTTTCTTAAGCTGACATGTCTGTTTTCATCCCATAACGCATATTCTACCCATTATTCAAGCACATTACTGAGGCATGGCTTTTAACAAATGGGTAGATGCAGGATAACTAACTAACTTGCTAAATTTTTATGTTTTATAACTTTAACTTAGTTTTTATAACTTTATATCTTTAACTAAAGCAGGATGTATCAATCACGCTCAAACTGGTAGAATAGATATCGGTGCACTTAAATGTATGTAAAGGACACTTCATAGTGTGGCTTTTGGTCGAAAGGACCTTTATCAGAGTGTACAGATGGAACAAATCATATCCCAATCAAGCTATGCAGCACACCTGTGCACACCATGGTTGTAGAGGCTCCGCCTCCTGTTTACTGCAGATGTGCATGGGATGTGAAATGTTAGCACACCTGTATGCTCTGATAAACGTCCTTTGTAGGATGAAGGCTAAAAATAAAAGGGTTCCTTGCACAGATTTGCCAGCCAAAACTTACAACAAATGTGTACAAAAAATCTTAACTTGAAAGATTAGTCAACTAGTCAGTCCACAGAAACCATTTTAATTTCTTTATTTATGGAGTGTAATCTGCAAGCAAAAATGCTAGTCTGTTCTATAAGCAATATAAGGCCAACATCGCCTTATATTGCTTATAGAACAGACTAGCAAAAACTGGGCGTTTTTTCACTATTTTCTGGAAAGGTATCGCATTTAAAAAAGAAAGTAGATTGCACTATAGTGCAAATAAGTGTTAGCTTCAGCTCTGAGGAGAGTAACAAATGCAAAAGAGAATCCCATCATAATCGTGTTCTCATCAGAAGGTCATGACTCGGCCTTCTTGTAAACTGATCTTTCATTTTCACTTCCTCTTTGTGAAACAGTGGGAACATTTAACTCTCTAATGTTTCTGTGAAGAACTTGGAATGAATGCACTTTTTATTCACCTGTCGAAAAATGCTGAACATCTTTTTCGCTTGATGCTAGAAATCGCACCTCATGCTACTTTCCTTTCAGAGGTGCGTAGCTTGGTCCGCTCATCTCGCGGCAAATTGTGAAAGTTGGCGTGCCGCTCATTATTTACTGGCATCAACAAGCTCGCAGTAACAATGTGGTCGCGGTTGGAGTCGCACATCTTCTATTCTCTGCGTGCTCATTGAACCACAAGAGGAACTGCCAGGAGACATGAAGGCTCACACGCTCTAGGCTTTGTTTTTTGAAATTGTCCCTCTCTTTAGCTTAAATAAAACGGTAAAACTGTAAGGGGACTGCTGGATAAACAAATTCTAAAAAAATCCAATTCTACAAAGCCTTTTCAAACTTGTTTATAGAAAGTTTTTCTAGTGTGAAAAAAGTGTGAACTCTTCTGATCTCGTTGGACTGACTCAGCAGGTGGACAATGACGCCTTGTGTGCAAATCCCTGTGTGATCCTTGCCCAGATGCCCTCAGCAGGTCATGAAGATGTTCTCACCTGACTGATGGCCCACAATGCAGCTCTTATGTAACGTGGTAGCTAAGTGCCCCGGCGTCAAGTGCCATGATTTAAAAAGACCATCCAACACGTTGCTAGTCGGCCCAAAGCTGTGAGAGAGGTCTTAAGCCGACAAAACCAACCAATCAATAAAGAGAACAATCATTGCATCTCCACTTAAAAGGGTCAATTATGTTATCCCTCACCGAAGCTGCTTTCTCCTCCGCTGAGAACTTCACAACGGATCAACTCACTGCGGTTCTCTCTGCTTTGCGGCGCGTAGCGGTCCATGCTGGACTCCCTGATCTGCCGGCATTAGGATCTGCGAGGCTGGGAGAAACAACGCCCGCAGTCCACCCCACCCAAGATGATGGCCACCAGCGACGTGGACACCCGGGGTGAAGGTAGTTCGTGTCTGTTGTGTTTTATGTGGATGACCAGCAGGGAGTAGTGTATTGTGAAGTAGGTACAAAGATGCAGTGGGATTACTTGTAATGCAAACTGACAGGTAGACACTGACTCATCAAGGGAGCTTTTGTTTCTTTTGGCTCAGCTGGTGTGTTGTTGGTTAGAAGGTCAAAGCAGTAAGTGAAATGTTCAGCAGGCGAGTTATTTACTCCCAATCCACCTACGGTCTAACGACATCATTTGTATATCATTTCTTGGGTGACTCATTAACATTTTTGTAAATCGAATCTCTAAACTCTTAAGACAAGCTCCTTTTCTTTCTTTTAAACTAAGTGGAGTTTTGCAGCGCTGTGTCTTTTAAAAGACAGCCCTCAGTTTCACTTCGCTATCACTTCTCAAGTCAATAAATGTGCCGTGAACAGTTCCTCCCTGCTTGTAAAACGCTGTTGAGTCACGGACCGATGTCAGCGATCCGCGTGCAGGAGCAGTGATCGTTTGCTCAGGTAGCTCGAGGCTTTAAATGTTGATCAGCTGGTTTACAACAGACTCTCTTCTGTCATACAGTCATCGTGACCTTAAAAGTCACTCTGCAAATATCTAAGTGAGGAGCCACTGAATGTATTCTGACTAAACTAACAATGTAGCTCAAATATTTTGTTTCAGTCATGTGTTTGTCATTTTATTATTGTGCACCTTGGTATTTCTTTGTAGGGACGTTAGCAAAAAATAAAGGGGGCCGTGCTGCGACAGTAACATGAAGGATGACACTCATTTAGTCATTTAGTGATAATCTTCCACATATTTATTCTCATCAATAAATTAAAAAGTAACTTCAAACTATACACCCACATTATTAGCTTTATTGATAATACTGCCATAAGCGATATCACTCCCGTTCTTTTATTGATTACGTGGATTTCTCATTAGTTTGTCGGCCTCGGTTTTGACGACAGTGTCGAAATGTCTTAATAGCATCTGAACATGTTAAAATAAACCACCCATTGCATTCTTCCTCCCCGCCATGACTTGTTGAAAGCTCCCGCAGCAGCGCGGACGCATTCGTTTTTGTCGCTAAAAGATGCTGAAGGAGTCGATGACCTCGGAGGCATGAACTAAAAATAATCTGACAGTTGGGAATCTGCTCTCAAGTGGAACTGGTTCTCGATTCCCTACGTCTGTTTTAGCCAATAGAAAGTAATAATATTGAATAAAATATAAAAATAAAACTTCTATTGTCCTGTAGACAACCTTTTTGTGCATCGGGTCACTTTTAGTCTGCATTGTGGAAAAAAGGCTTTCAACAGATGTATTTTTAACAGGGTGGTTTTGAGGGAGCGTCGCTTCATGAGGCCTCCACGTACTATTGGACCCACGCGACCTAAGAGCCTCACTGTTCTCCTTTTTTGCCTTCTCTCCTTCGCGGCAGGTACTTTGTTTTCCGACCCAATTCCATCAGAAATGGATGCGCTTTGTCCTTCTCCTCCAGGACCCACCAGACCCCAACGTACCTACGAGAGGATCGGAGGACGGGAGGGAACCTCGTGAGTATTATCAAGGCCCTTGTGTAACTAGAGCTGTGATGACCCGCCTCTAACGCAGACCCAACCCCTTCTCCCAGCTTCTGTCAGACTCTCATCCACCTGCTGAAGGGGAACATCGGCACGGGGCTGCTGGGGCTGCCGCTGGCAGTGAAGAACGCCGGCCTGGTGGTAAGTACGCACGTTACAGGGACACTGCTTCCACAAAGCCTGTTCACAGGATATCACGGACGGCCTCGGGTTGCGGCGGGAAGTCATTTGCATGTCGCACCACAAGGAAATACTGTGGCCAGAATGATTGACAGAGTCGAGCTGTTTTTATCCCTCTGATGAGCCGTTATCTCCACGGCCGAAAACCAGAGCTGTGATGGGGAGAGATACGGATGAGCCAAAGGCCGCGTTGGAAACACCAGGTTCCCCGCCACTGACTGTTTTCTCATGACTCGTAACACGATTATTCGTTTTTGCAACAGTCTAATTGAATGAACTTGTAATTGAAAGTATTTCTAGCGCTCCCATCGGTTCCACAGCAATGAGAGCAAGTTGGTGGTTATGAATAACAACCTGATTCAGTTTTAGTACATTTCTAAATGTTGTGCTTGAGTTTCGGGCTGAATATTCTGGTAGATGGCAAAGTCTAACCTTAAAGCTCATCTGCACTGTTTTCGACTTACTGAATTCATCCAGGAACAAAGCCGACTACATGGAGGATGTTCTGTAAACGTGCGCCTGTGCTCACACAGGACTTCTTTAGATCGCCCCCCTGTGGTTTCACCCCATGCTGTTAATATTGGACCTCTGTCTCTCCCCAGCTCGGACCCATCAGCCTGCTGTGCATGGGGGTCATAGCGGTCCACTGTATGAGGCTGCTGGTGAAATGTTCCCACCACCTCAGTGCCAAGTGAGTAGAAACGCCACTTTGTTGAACTGGATTTGTGTCATGTGGGCTAATGCAGTGGAGCCGTTCTGCTCACTGGTTTACCTCTTTGAAGTCTTAAATGCTGCTCTGTCCAGCGAGACGCCATCGTGTGTGTGTGTGTGTGTAGATTAAAAGATGTGACTATTCTGGGATTGTTTCCCTGACAGGATGGACCGCCCATCTCTAAGTTACGGCGAGGCGATGGAGTACGGGATGGAGAACGTGTCGTGGCTGAGGAGACACTCGCAGTGGGGAAAGTAAGACCGTGGTTCTTTTATGTCGTTTTTTTTTTGTGTGTGTGATAAGTAACGTCTGTGTTTTTAGTAAATTCTGTCATCTCATTCAGGCAATAATGTATCTGTTAATTCCTAAATCGTGTTTCAGAGGCTCTCCCACTATGTCCAACATGTACCATCCAGTGTCGTTGGATCCTCACGTTAGATAAAGAAGAACTCATGTGGCCAAAATATTTCATCAAGAAAAATGTGTAATGTGCTGATTTATTGCCGCTCGTATATCTCCAGGATGTCTCACTTGTTTCTGAACAGGCTGCTGGAACTTGTTGAAGTAAATAGTTTGTTCAAGCAAGTTCATGAACCAGTTATGGTTGTATGAGTGCATTATAACTCAGGCTCAATATTTACTGTTCTCTCTCCATCTGTCTTTCAGACATACAGTGAACGTGTTTCTAATCATCACCCAGCTGGGCTTCTGCTGCGTCTACTTTGTCTTCCTCAGTGACAATATCAAGCAGGTCCAGAACACACTCACACACACACACTGCTCGTCATTAGATTTCAGTATCCGAATATATCTTCTTTTTTTTTATCTCACCTCTCACGCATGTACTTGTACACCGCAAGATGCAACTAAATGGGTCACTGGGACGGGAGGGATGACGAATTGAAAGCATGGACATACTGCAGCATGAAGTGTTGCACGTGTACCAGCATGCCTGCAAATTCTGTTCTTATGCACTTTTGAGTAGAGCACCTGTTTTATCTGTCAGTGAGGCGTCCTTTCGGCTGGTGACCTTATTACCAACTGTTGACCCCATGTTTTCTTTAGAGATCTGGGAAGTTTACTGCTTACGCCACTAAAACGGTTTCAAGCTGACAAAATGTCTACAAGTAAAACTTGTGATATATTAGAGCACCTCTTGCATTGTGAGCCGTCGCGCTAGCAGAGAGCATGAAGCTTTTTGGTTGCTGTGTCTTTAATGTGAAGTACATTATGAGCAGATCTCAATCACTTGCTTTGTATTTGTGTCAGATTCCGAAAAGCATAAAGCAACTGTGGTTAACTTAATGTTGTCCCGTGAGTTACCACTAGGTGGGGGTGTCAGTCTTGTGTGTGTGTGTGTGTGTGTATATATATATATATATATATATATATATATATATATATATATTATTACTTCTTACTCCCAATAAGTGTATCAAAAGCCATTTCCACAAGTAGAAGGAATGAGATCTTTGCCTCCATGGGGGGAAAAATATATTCAGTCATTTTACTGTGATACTAATTTCAGTTTTTTGGAATGCTAATTATCTGAAGTTCCCGTACACTCTTTTCAGTGACTCTGTTTCCCTCTTGTCTCCCTCTGTACCTTCACCAGGTGGTGGAAGCCGCCAACACCACCACCTTCAGCTGCCAGATGAACTACACCAACCAGACCCAGGTCCTGGTGCCGAGCTTCGACTCGCGCCTCTACATGCTCTGCTTCCTGCCCCCCATCATCCTGCTGGTTTTCACCCCCGACCTCCGGTACCTGGCTCCCCTCTCTCTGGTGGCCAACCTGATGATGACGGCCAGCCTGGTGCTCATCTACTTCTACTCGCTCACGGTGAAAGTCTCTCTTGTTTATTTCACGGCTTTGTCTTGAAGAAACGCAAATTCTTCCTTCAGAAATGTGTCAAAGCTTCAACCCTGAGAGATGTAGACGATGCTTTCTGAAAGCAGCCGTCGGTGGAATGCTGTAAAATAATTTCACCGTGCCTTTCCTAATGACATCATTGTTTTGGGTTTAACGGCGACCTTCATTTTAAGAGCGGTTTAAAATCTGGTCATCCAAGTTTGAATGAAGAGGTTTCCCTGTAGAGGCAAACACTTTGTTTCTCAGAAATGCAATTTTCCTTTCCTTCCCTGCATATTTCACAGCCACTTATCAACGACCATTTATTTTATTACCAGCTGAAAAGAACATGTGGTGTCCTTGTGTCTGCAAATCCAATCAGATGTGGAACAGCAGCTCAAATAAGATGATGCAGAATGTAAAGTTAAAGTTCTTCTTCCTTCCTCTGCAGAACATCAAGTATCCCATCGACCTCCCCAAAGTGGGCCGAGCTAAGGACTACCCCCTCTTCTTTGGGACGGCCATCTTTGCCTTTGAAGGCATTGGCGTGGTACGTGACGGACTGATGATGAAGCAGTGCTCAAACACGTTGGCATGAACCGTTGAAGCCCTTTCACATCTGCTCAATGATCTCTGCTGACAGCCCGGGTTTGTCTCTTTGGCCTCGACAGGTTCTTCCCCTGGAGAACAAGATGGAGAGGCCTCAGGGGTTCATCCCGGTTCTGTATTTGGGAATGGGCATTGTCACTTTCCTCTACATCAGCCTCGGCACCATCGGATACATGTGCTTCGGAGAGCACATAGGAGGAAGCATCACGCTCAACCTGCCCAACTGCTGGTAAGACAACGGCAGCAGGTCTCACGCTGGATAAAGTGCTCCAAATGTAATTTTTATTAAATGCACCCGTGTTAAAGGTAGGCAATACATTTATTTAAATATACATATATATGTGTGTATATGTATGTGTGTATATGTATGTATACATACATATATGTGTAATATACATATATATATATACATACACATATATGTGTGTGTGTGTGTGTGTGTGTGTGTTGACCTGATGGTGTCTCCTCTTCACAAATGTGAATCGGTGGATGATCTCTAGGTTTGTTTGGTGGTCGTCCCTGGCAACACTAACCTCAGCTTTCCTGCCTCCGTAAATAGAGGAAAAACACCAATGACCTCCAGAGAAAGCTCGCTGGTCCCAGCTGTTCAGAACAGCAGCTGTATCGCGTGTCATGAACACCAGGTGTTGTCGACATTGAGACTAAATTGTATTCTAATGACACGACGGCTGTTGAATCACTCTGGTTAATAGTGGCGTCCTTCCTGAATTCATCCACGTCTCATCTAAAGTCACGAAGGTCCTTTAGGTCTGCTCCATAAGTTAACACCAGTCTTCACCTTTTGCTCATTACTGGTTACTGTTGTCATGGCGATGCCTCCTGTGACTGGACCGATGTCTTTTAATTATCAAAATAGACTTTTCAATGAGGTTGAAACCTCGAATGCTATTATTACCGGCACATCAGCTTTGTTTTTAATAAATTCCTCAATGTTTTTTGTTGATGGACCTCGAACATTAAAATAAAGGCCTCGTTTTGCATTTCATGAAAGATTTTTGTTTTGCCGCATAATCAAAAATATTATCGTAAACATAATTAGCCTTTTGATTTTAGCGGCAACATTTGTTTTAAATCTTGTTTACCCTGCTCTAATTTTCCGACGACACAAATACTGACATCGAACTATTTTTAATGTTCTACTTTCATTTTTAAAAAACAAATATTAATTAATTACATTTACATATAATTGGTGTTATTTGGACACAAATTAAATTATCTTTTCTCTAAATGCTAGCGAGATTATAATCCATTAATATTTTTACCCACTTGCTATAAAACTACTGAAAATGAATATTATTTTCCCCTCACTGAACAACTATTAGTGTTTCACAGAGATCAAAACGGCACAGATGAGAAACAGTTTCAAGACAACTAAAATACCCCCCCACCCCCACGTTGTCTCTTCCCAGGACGTACCAGGTCGTGAAGCTGCTCTACTGCTTCGGTATCTTCATTACCTTCGCCCTGCAGTTCTACGTCCCCGCAGAGATCCTCATCCCGCCCGTGATGGAGCGCGTGTCACAGAGGTGGAAGACGCCCGTCAACCTGCTGCTCCGCTCAGTCATGGTCGTCTTCACGTGTGAGTAGCGCGGCTTTGGACGCGGCGGGACGAGGGAATCGCGGCGTGCGTCTTCAGAGGCCCACTGATGTCACTTTGTCTCTCAGCACAAAATATGAATTTATAATAAATAATGCAGAATGTTTTCTCCTGCTAATCACCAGAAGGACCAAGTCACCACATCCTTCTGTCACACAAACTGATGTGTTTTAAACTTACGTTTTTTTTCTTGTGAAATGCTGAATTAATTTGCCCCAAACAAAATCCGTTTGAATGTTGTGAATAGACGTGGACGAGTTTTATCCTTCCGCTTTATGTTTTCATTTTGTTCATCGGAGCTGTTGTGATTAATGTGTCGACAGCGCCCGGAAGACAATCTCATTACATCTGGATCAAACATCCACTCGGGTCTTTGAACATTAATCAATATGCTAATTGTGATCCTGTGACACAAATGTCTTAACGGGATAAAGACGTTGTGAGCAGACGTGGATGTGAACTGCATCCTGACAGTTTGGTGCAGGAACACAAGCGGTTGGCTCGACTTCTATGTTCTAATGAGCCACAAGTATTATTTACTAAAGCTGAATTTATTTTCCAAACGCACCAAACCATCACATGAAAAGTGTTCAAAATACGTCTGTAATCACAGACGTATTTTTGTTTACAGTCTGGTAGTTCTTAAGCTTTCTTCCCTCTTATATCACCTTTGTCTGTATCCGTGTGGCTGCTGTGCAGAATGTCGCCTCCTCACCGCTTGACAGGACTCACTTCTGTCGAGGTGTCCGGTGCTTCACACAACAATGGATGTCAAAGGCTTAATTGAACCCGCTGCGTCTGAAGGGAGATGTGTCGGCTCCGTGATACAGCAGATGGATAAACGGGCGTGTTGATGGATGCTGGTTCCTCAGCACCAGCTTTTACAGCCTTTTATTCCGGCGTGGTTTGTAAAGAACACGTCTGTGTCAGTTAACTGATTTACAGAGACGATGCGTTTCGACAGCATGTTTGTGTGTACTGTTGTTTAACTCATTAAGTGTTGCACACTAAATAATGTCAAGCAGTTCAGCGCCGTTCTCTCCTCACTTTTATTATTTGAGTTCTGGAATACTGTACCAGGCTCTGCTCGTTGGTGTCGGGTTCTTCATTCCTTTCATTAGCTGCGTTTTGAGCCTGTAATTAAGCAACTAGTACACTGTACAGGTTTCTCCTCCACATGCATGTTGATCAGCCAATAAGAGGTAACGCACGCATGCATGTGCCACATTATGCCCGCGGGTCATTTGCAAAGCAGCACCTGTTTTCATTTAGTTGTGACTGGAGATGCAGCAGGAGGGAGAATTGGTTTCCACCAGTGGGATCACAAAGCGGCCCGGTTGAATAAATTATGTAGCTCCTATACATTGATATCTACAAAATTACTTTTTTTAATTTGGAGAATATGAGATGATATTTCACTCTACTGCTGCCGTATGTTCAAAATGACGAGTTTGTTTCTGAGGCCGATGGGTTCCCTCTGCTGTCCACCAGGGGGCGACTCCTCTGGCCTGTAGAAGTCCGAGAAAACGACTCGACTTCCCTCCTGATTTATTCCCTCAGTAAAAACATGAGTTCATGGTCTCAATCTCTAGTTTCAAGTCTTCGATACAGCGTGATGTTCCTTGAGTGTCCCACATCTATTGGGTTTCTCTGCAGCGCTGTGCTTTGACTCGTGCCCCTGCTTTTAAAGGTCGGGGCATTTCAGTGCACAGACATTTCTTCTGAAGTGAGCCCTCCGTTCTAGTTGGGCTGAGGGGGGACGGAGCCGTTACTGTGGTTTTGGGTCATCAGGCCTGCAATGCCGCACGTTTGCCTTTTCCTCCTTCCTGCACCCGTCTGCGGCGATGCCATTATGTCGCAGGGTTTGACGAGCATCGCCCCCAGGCCGATTTCTACAATCGGCGTTTGATCCGATGGTAAACCTCAAATATGCATTTCTAATGTCAAGCCGTCTGGCAGACGTGCATTAAGTGATTCTTAACCTCCAGTAGCAGGAAGGTGGGGAGCCTTGTTGAGCTACGGCGCCCTATGCGCTTGTGAGGTAAATGTCACTTCTTTATCTGGTTTACTTCAGCCACGAGGGTCCAGACCAACACAACAACTGATGTTAAACTCATAACTATATAGAGGTTGATGATTCATACGGGCTGACGGTTTTTGATGTGACTAAACGATACACGCGTTTGCATTTATTTCTAAAGCGTTTTGACTGCGTGAAATTTCTACTCATTTTGTCTTTAATGGAGCCATAAATCCACCACTTGTATTCACGCACACCTGCTGGCACGAAGCCTTGTTTTGCTGCCGGGTTTTGTCTCCGGTTGGAAAGTGTCTCCTGCGTCTGAGCAGCCAGCGTCTGTTGTTAATCTGTTGATGGGAACAGGAGAGGACGTGAGCCTCCTCCTCTTCCTTTCTTTCTTTATTCCTGTACTTGGCCGCACAGAGGTGACGTGCCGCTGGGAGTGCATGCTGCATGTAGCCGCAGGCCTGTCTTGCTTTTACCCTTTCAGAAAGCAAGATGTGTTCACCTTTTACTCCTTACAGAGCGGGTTCGCCTGTGTCGTTTGACCTTTGCCCCCTGCTCGGCTCATCTGAGTTACCTTGTGTCCGTTAGCGGCAGGAAAACGACTAATAAAACATCAGATGTCTGGTGGTTATTTTACAAATGGAAAAGGCCGTTGGAGCACCGTGTGGGACCTTTTTTTTATTACATATATGCACATTGATGTACTTTTATACACTTGGAACACTGCTAATGCGCTAACGCGTGGGCGCATGTTCACGTGCGCTACAGTGCACGGCGTCCTCCATTTATCGCTGATGACCACGACTTTTATCGCTATCAAAAGTGTCTCTTTTCACTCCTAGTAGGACAGACAGCTGTGTTCTTTAAGCAGACACTCAGGAACACTCTCAAAGTGCTGTTGTCATTGAAACGTTTACTCTTCAGACCCCGTCGAATGCAAAGGGCACTTAAGTCTAAACGAGTGTCCCGCTGATCCTCGGCTCGTTTGGGGACGAGACGAAGAGAAGTGTCCTCTGAGGTCGTCTTTACCCGCAGTGCTGAATATTTGTTATTCTCCCCGCCGTGTTCCCAGCGGGGCTTTTTGTCCATTTGCTTTCATTCTTTGTCACCGTGCTTGTAAAAAATCAATGTATGTGCTTTGTTGTCCATCAGTTGATATTTGTAGGTATCTCACCGCGAAAACTTATTTAAATGGCGCGGCGCTCTAGAAAGGTCCCTGCCTGACATTTTGCCGTCTTACAATAAACCTCACGGTGTTTGTGATTTTGCCTTTTCCGCCCTTTACAACGTGGCTGTAAATAATGCCGGTCTATGATGTGTGTTCTTCTTTTTGACCATGTCTGGGTAGTTTGACCCCTGTAGGTCAGCTGCTGAGTGACAGGACTGTTCTGATGCTCTTCCATCGCTCAGATGTGTTTGGTCATTTCCACTTTCACAACATCGTTTTGAAATGGCTCACTTGTCTGCCTGCGAGCCCGGATGTCTTCATCATTTAAACACTTCCATCTTATCCAGGCAGCGTGGTCGCTCGCTCTGCGGCCCCCGTTTCCTCCTCCTTGTCATGGATTTATTCATGAAACAAACCGCAGACATCTCTCTTTATCGTGATCTCCCTCACAGCATCACAACTTGCGGCGATCATTTCCTCCAGTCGGCATCTTTGCAGCAGAAAGCCGACTGCCGTGTGTGTACGCTGTAGCTCCTCCCCTTATGGCGCTGCGCCTTCTTTGTTACCTCGCTGACACTTTGCTGGTTAAATAACGGTGAAATGAATAATCATCGGAGGCCAAATGGATTACATTCCCTTCAGCAGAATTAAATTGATCCCAACTCGCACGTTGTATTTCTGTCCTTTTTTAGCGCCCATGAGCCACAAATAATTGAATTGTTAACTGATCAGCGCGCATCCTGTTTCCACTCTGTTTTGTCTGTATCCTAAGGCCTGAAAGTAATCAATTTAATTTCCTTAGGAGTTGTAGCCGTTTGTAGCGGATGGAGGAGAAATGATGACGGCCAACCGCTCAAGTTTGTCATTTCAAAGCAAGAAAATGTTTTCTACTTTTCTTCAAGCTCCTGCTTGAGGTAAAAACTGTGGCTCTGAAAATGAGGGGACATGAAAGCACATTATTAGTTACACCGCTGTGAATCCACAACCACGCTAGCGTACCTGTGAGTCAGGTTTCAGGGCGGTGCTGCGATTAGCAATGCCAATGTTGATGGTGATTGATGGTCTGCTGATGTTGGCTCTGGCTCACAGTTGGAATATTTCGGTGGTTCGATCCTTCGCTCCTCAGGCGTGCGCAAGACGACGAACCCAAAGTCGAGCCAACGTAGTGTCAACGTAGACAGTGCATTCGGTTGGTCCTGATGGGCAGGTTGTACCACGCATGGAAGCCCCTCTCACCAGTGAATGAATGCTCAGGACTCTACAACAATCCGACGTAACGCCACTAGAATACGCAGGAGTCTGTTAACAGCCATTAGATCAATAAATCCGAGTAGTATTGAGTAGTTGCTGCAGCTTCAAAGTTTTCTTTCCCGAGCAGTGAGTCACGAGTTGTGTACTGAGGCGTCTTCAGTGTTTGTATAAGAGGAAATAATCACCTGTGCAAAGAGTCTAAAGCATTCGATCGGAGAACGAGTCTCACTAGAAATGAGGCCAGTGGGAGGATGGGAAGAGAATATCCTCAGTCTCTCATCACCACGGCGATCTCGTCACAACTTCTGCTCCAACAACCGTCACCTCATCAGATGGAGGGAAATCTAATCCAACGCGACTCTGAAGTGTGTGTCAAGTGTCTGTTCTGAAGCCGTCAATTACTCATCAGTTCATTAACATTTGCAGGTCGGCCCGCTCGGCCCCTCCAGGTGAATCGGCCCCTCCCTGCCCGTCTCCATCCCCGTCTCCATCCCCGTCTCCATCCCCGTCTCCATCCCCGTCTCCATCCCGCTCTAAACGGTTAGAGGGTTTAATCGTTATGTGAAAAAGGTCTCCGCACCGAACTCTCGCCGCGTGTCCTCGTCACGCGGACACTTGACCTCGGAGGCCGCTGCGACAAACTTTTGCGAGGGCGCGGCAGCGATCGATTCCAAAGTCTTTCGTCCCCCGCCGGTAATGGGACAAGAAACAACCCGACGTGTCCTCGCCCTCTCACTCCGGAGACGGGGTGTGCGTGTTGTCTTCTCAGGTGTGTGTGTGTGTGTGTGTCCGTGCGGCGATGCAACGCCCCGTCACCGCTAATTCCCGTCTCCGCGGCAACTGCGAGAGATGACTCACGTCCCCGGTGACCCTGGCCGCTGACGCGTTTAAAAACAAACAACCAATCCGCTCCGGCGCGTCTCCTCGTCCGCTCGCTCTCCTCCTTTGTGTCGTCGTCCCTCTGACCTCATCTGTCTTTTACTCCTCCTTCCTTTCTAATTCCCACGATGCCGTTCTTGTCTCTTCTGTCCCGTTGTCCGCTGTAGATGTCCCTCTGCTCGCACCCCTTTTGTTGTTTGGAGGTCGGTTTTACAGTAAGAGTAAAGAAACGAAGCTGAATTTCAAAAACAACCTCATCAGTTGAAGATTAATTACCAACGCATGTTGAAGTTTTAACGATATCTTTGGGACGGTTTCTTGCATGACGCGAAATTCCACGACTTTCATTGAGCTCGTCCCCTTTTAAGCCATCGACTGTCCCTCTGCTCGTCCTCCTGCAGGCGCCCTCGCCGTCCTCATCCCGGAGCTGGACCTCGTCATCTCGCTGGTGGGCTCGGTCAGCAGCAGCTTCCTGGCGCTGATCTTCCCGCCAATCCTCGAGCTGCTGACCTTTCACACGGAGGGCGCGCTGTCGCCGCCGGTGACCGCCAAGAACGTGGCGATCAGCCTGATCGGGCTGATCGGGTTCCTGGCGGGGACGTACATCGCCGTGGAGCAGATCGTGGCGCGCAACGCGCTGAAGCACGTAGAGACCTTCTCCCCCTTCAGCGTGCAGTGAAAGCGGCGGCGGCGGCGGGGGGGAAATAACCACTCAAATGCAATTTGATTTCACGTCGTCTTTGTCTCCACTGCCAAAGGATGTGGCGGCCATTTTGAATCCTGAATCCGTCACACGTGCGAGCGGCATGCGTCACGAGTTCCCCTCTCATTTCATCATCACGACCTGGATGTTCGTTTGTGTGCTCATGAAAGGTATTATGATAAATATTGTTCCTTTTAGAGGATTCATTTAGAAACAGACTTTCTGGTGTGAAACCAAACTACTTTTCATAATGGAATCATCTCGTTGATGCTGATCTTTAGTGGACTGGTTACACAAACTGCTTCTCAATTAGAGCGTTTACTCCATCAAACTCCTTGTTTTTTGTATATTTTTTCTTTGATATTTGCCTTATCCAGTGAAACGATGAAATACTTTGAGATGCACAACCCGGACCTTTTGGGTTGAGCATCAAAACGTTTCTTTTTGTTGGACACAGTTTCAATTATATGAAAGAACCATTTAGTGTGTGTGTGTGTGTGTGTGTGTGTGTGCGCCAAATGAGAGAGAGATTCTGGTGGTAGTTTTTTTTTATGTTTCTCATTTTGCCCATATGAAAATATCTGTGGTCCTTTATGGGACTAAAAGCGTCCATGTTTTCAGCTGTTATGATCCCTGCACTTTAAACAACCGGACATCGGTCCGTACATCACATATTAGCGAGTCTCATATCGTTAGTGTTGTGTCTTTCCTTTAGCTCGGAATCCTTTTACGTGGAGAGAACCTGGATGCTCTTAGTCCTGTTTGGACCGGAGGGGGAGGGACCTGAATAAGCATCACAACAACAAAGCAACGTTCACTAATAAAATCACTTAAGAGTACCTTTACAAAGATTCTCCTTTCCTCGTTACACCTTTTTTTCTTTTTACAAAACCATTTAGATCAGGCCTAAAAATGAAACCTCAGGTTTTCTTTACTGGCCCCTCAGGGCTTCCGTGGTATTTTCATCCCGATCGGCTGTGATGCCGAGCTGCTGGAGACGATTCCTGATGTCCGTATGTACATAAAAGCTTAATTTATCATATTTTAAAGGACGGTGATGCATCGTAATAACTCACCAAATTCATTCAACGCTGGACTGTCGAGAAAAACTCTAAAGGGAAAGTGGATGTTAAACTTTGTTCATGATGAATATTTATGTATTTACTGTATATTAGATAATTAAGCTTTCTTTTTTTTTACGGTCTACATATTTTGTTGCCTTTTTTTTTTTTTTTTGCACAGTCCAGACTTAAAAAAATACTCAACTTCAGAAAATCACATTTTCTCAACAAAAAAAGGAATAATTGATATCAAACCTTCCATGTAGATTTTCTTTTAATCTTTAAAAGTTTTGATGTATTAACGGCATTAATAATTGGTATTTTCTTTCTTCCACGTTAAGCATTTTTTGAGGTGGTTAAACCTTGAATTGTTATTTTAATTTCAGAAGGCTCTGCTTGTAAAATGCATCGAATGTAACACCGGTGTTGAATAAAGACCGTTGGTGTTGATTCATAAGTCTTTGTTCCTCAGACGCGTACTAATAATAATAATTCTAAAGCTTCTGCACTGTTGTGTTTATGTGAATCAAAGCAATGTAAATGTCCACTTATAAAATGATCATCCTCACTTCCACAGATCACCTTATGATAATGATGATGTGCACCGAAAAAAAGACTAAATTGACTTTGCTTGCATTCATTTAAGGCAAAAAAATTCACTTACTGCTTTGATTTATTATTTTGAGCAAATGCAAAATTCCAGATCCCCCATGTTTTAAAAATCTGCACTACATAAATGTTGAGATTTCTATTTGATAAATGAATTGTAACTGACCATTTAAATGTAAATTTAATGCTTTCATCGCTTAATTCCTTCATGAATAAATAACATTAAAAAGTATCTATGTGCCTTGTCTTTCTTTTTTTTTTAGTTACTGAAATAATTTTCACGTCTTAAAGCTGCGTTCTCTTTAGTGACCACCAGGGGGGCGACTACTCGAGAAAATCCCTTCTCTCTTGATCAATTACCTCAGCAAACGTAAGCACGTTGATAGTGCATTTAGTACAATTTAGTAGTGCCGGGATGCTTTAAGGCAGAGCTACAAACTTCATGGTTCTACGTAGATGGTTCTATATCTACCTCTCTGAAAATGGGGCAAAAGACACTGGCGCTTTTTTTTTAAATATGGAATTTGTGGGCCATCCTAATGAAAGGAGACAATCCCGTCCAGAGGTAAATAGACCGGAGGGAGGTCACTGCCACTTGGATGGTTCTTCCGGCTTCATTCTGTCCAATTGATACCAACCGAGTGCTCGGTCTACAGAGCATGGAGAGGGTTTTTTTTTATTTGCACAATTAAATAATAATGGACTCCCCTTGAATTCACAGTGCTGGAATAAGCAGGAAGCACACTGACCTCATTTTAAGCCTCTACCTGAATTTCTCTTTTCTTTGTCTCTCGCTCATCTGGTCTCCTACTGTGAAAACACTCAGGCAGAAAACTCCTCCCTACTGACCAACTGCCCCTCGCATCGCCCCGTTACCGCAGCAACAGGAGGGAGCAGGGATCGCGTGTGTGTGTGTGTGTGTGTGTGTGTGTGCGCGCTCAGTAGAGAGAAAGCGGATCGCCACGTGAGACGTTCATTTGACCTTGAGGGATGGAAACACAAAGAGAAGGGATGTACGTATCAAAACGTCAAATGTAGACTTTTTAACTCCGTTATTGAATTGAAATAGCAAAAAACACACTACACCTCAAACTGTAAAGCTTTACAAATTGTTTACCTGCCTACACGTCTTTTCAAAATGTCTGTTCTCTGGGGGAAAAAACTTGTTAGCTGGAATAAGTTCCGTTTGATTTTCTACTGCCTTTCTGAGTTGTGTTAAATGTTTTAATTGATCCACATTTCCCTCTTAAAATCCCCCCGCACATTAAGATCTGATGTTAAAGTCACTGTCAAACATTCAACGCGAGCTGAAAATATCTATAGAACAATATGAGCGAGTTAAAGATTGTGTGTTGCCTTCTCAGTGAGCACACTCGTAAACAAAGAAGCGACACAGTGAACCTTCTTTTTATTAAGACATGTTTTTGGGGCTTGTTGGCGTCTTTGTGTCTCATTAACGTTACAAACGTTCAGAGGAAACATTCTTCAAGGTGATGTGCAAAAAAACAGCGTATGAAAGGACAACCGGTACATTCTTGTCGACTGTTGGCTTCCCATTTGTTTCATATATAACTACATATTTTTTTTCAAACACAAAAATAACGGCAAGCTCAATCCATTGCATTGATTTTTAGAAAGAAAAAACTACAGGTAAAAGACCAGCATTTTAAGTTGAGACATCTATGTCCCTTGTTTCAATATATTTAAATAATTTTAATTCCATACTGAAATCTAGTCATCTATGCAATTGAAACTTTTTATATTTATTAACAAATCATTTTTAACGAATGTGCTAATCCATGCTAATCCCAAACTATTACTTTAATTTAAAGAAATGGCCAAACTGTCCATTTGTTCAAAATTCCATTCTAACCTTTCACCGAGTAAATCAGTTTATTGAAGAGATATAGTTTGTGGAAGCGTTATATGTTTACATCGATAATCCATGTCCAGTTCCGTGAAGCGAACACGAGTCTTCAGCTGGTTAGCTTAGCATGTGGAAACACAGAAACATCTGACCTGGCTCCGTAAAACAAAAGCCCTCTCACGCTGTGCTCTACAAATGATCCAGTCAAGGCCGTCTGGGAAATAAAGAGCATTTAAATCCCCGCCAAAAAAATCCTCACTGGGTTTGGGAGCGGCAACATTTCACACACATTCCCTCCGACACCTCGGCCCTGTGTGAGGTCCTCGGTGGTCTAACTGGTCCCAGAGCAGCTTGATCCACACACACAGTGGAGACACCCGCTTACTCACCAGAAAAGCAACATTCAGCCTCCACTTTCCAGCAGCGTGCAACAGTGAGCGGTCGAAACACTCTTCAGGACATAATAACGTCTCTTCTTTGTTTTGATGTTGATTTGATGGTATATTTTCATGTGTAATTAAGTGCTTTTTGCGACCTGAAAAGAACAGCCTCTAAGGTTGAAATGAAAGGGTATTGCTTTTAAACCGCAGCGAGGCCGGATTTTCTTTTTTCCACTTAGGTGCCGAATACCGGACGCCTCCAGGTGCGAGAAAAAGTCTTCATGTTTGATCAACGCAGAGAGTTTTTTGTCCCAGATAGAAGAGGCCGATGAGGTGAGAAAGTTCCCAGAGGATGAAAGACTTGACAAAGCACCACTGACCGGCACCACTGACCGGCACCACTGACCGGCGGTGTCCGTCCCACATGTTGGTACCAACGGTCAAGTCCTGAACTTTCAATGTCTCGTCCATAAAGAGCCCTGATCGTACCGGAGAGTCTCGATGATTGCGAGGTAGACCTTACGCCATTCACATTAATGGGTTAGCAACTGGCCGTGGTCATGGTGACAACAACAGTGCAGCTCGCCGGGAGGAGGGAAAACGCAGTTCTGGAGAGAGATTGCTGGGTAGTTAGCTTGGTAGCTAGCTAGCTAGGCTAACGTCAGCTGGCGGGCGATGAGGCAGGGGAACATTGGAAGCGACACACCTGCGCCGTAGCAGCGTTTATGCATGGGGGAGCCAGCCAGCTAACTAAGTAGTGGCCCTTCTCTTAGCTTGCTGATCCCATGATGCTTTAATGCTACGCCGCTTACAGAAATACAATGATCAGAAGGTTTGTAAAACCCAACAACAAATTACAGTATGACTTCACAAAAAAGAACCAAAAGGAGTCGTGATAAGCCCTCTCTCTCCGACTACCTCTGCAAAGTCTCTCGAGTTCCCTGAAGGCATCACTGATAACTGTATGGCATCGTTTATTTCACTTTGTCTCTCTCCTCTGCCTATCTCTCCTCCTCTTCACCTCCAGCTACCTCCAAGTATTTGTCCTTTTTGCTTAATGCGGTACCTTGTATTTGTTTTCTCTTCCTCTCTTTGTCAAGGTGAGGATTTTATTTCTAATAACATACTCCCGTCACAAAAGCTGAACAACGAGGCCCAGATCCCTCCGGCCGTCTCAGCAGTGAAACTTGAAGATGATCAAGACGATCCTCTTGTACTCCTTCCGGAAGTTGTGGTTCAGGACGCCGTAGACCACGGCGTTGAGGCAGCTGTTGAAGTACGCCATGAAGTAGCTGGCCGTGAATAGCCACTCCGGTATCGCCCGGCTCAGCCTGGAGTCCAGCGCCACCGCCAGGCCGATGAGGTTCAGCGGCGCCCAGCAGACGGCGAAGAGCACGAACACCACGAACATGGTGAGGAAGTTGCGGATGTCGTGCGGCTTGATCTTCGGCCGCGAGTCGGGCTTGACCCGCCTCCTCACCTGGATGACGAGGATCCAGATGCGCAGGTAGCAGTAGCTGACGATGGCGATGGGCAGGATGAAGTGCACCACCACCACCGTGATGGTGTACAGCGAGCTGACCGACTGGGCGAAGGTGCAGGAGTACACCCGCGGGTCGTACTGCAGCGACTCCACGAACCAGTTTGGCACGATGGCGAGGATGGTGAGCGCCCAGACCAGCACCACGTAGCACATGGTGTTGCCGTTGGAGAAGAGCTTGTCGTACTTGAGGCTGTGGCAGATGTAGCAGTAGCGGTTGATGGCGATTCCTGTGATGTTGAAGATGGAGCCGATGACGCTGAGGCCCATCAGGAAGCCGCTGATCTGACAATGGATGTAGCCGGCGATCCAGCCGTCGTGGAAAATGGCGGACAGCACCAGCGGGTAGGGGTAGATGGCGACCACCAGGTCGGCGACAGCCAGGCTCACCACAAAGGCGTTTCCTGCAGACAGAGGAGGGAGACGGCCTCGTCATCGGCATGCGGAATACAAACAGGAAAAAGTCTGGCCCCAATGTTGTCTCTCCTAAAAGTACAGTCAGAATCAGGTGAGCAAGTAGTACTTTTAGTCAAGATGCAAAACCCGACCAAGGGTTCCGTTAGACAGGGTTTCTTGATGCTTCGCTACTTCGCACTTGAATAGAGAGGCGTGGGGATGCCGTATTATTATTTGTCTTAATTACCCGATGATTTAAAGTTAGGACATAAATGATCTGCGAGTAAATTCATGAATGTGGGGCCTTTTGCACTGAAGAGGGTTCTCTTTGTCTCTGCAGGTTGGTGTTCAGGGCGACCGCTTAAAACGCATTAGGATTAATTTTACATTTAATGCATTTTTAAGAATTATTATTTAACTATGTATTTATGGAGCAAATGGTAATGTTCTTTAGTTCCAGCTTCACATATTTGAAGATTTGCTCCTTTTCTGTTCTCTGGATCCGACATAACAGCACTTTAAAGATGTGACATTGGGCTGAGGGAACTGGTGCACTTTTCCTTATTTGAAATGGATTAAACAATGAATTGTGGTCAAAATGATTGTCAGGGTTTTAGAGTAGTACAGAGAATATTTTCTGATGGGGGGGGGGGGGGTCCGACAGAAACAAAACAAACAATCCAGCCAAGCTCCCAGTTGAGTAAGAATCCCAATCCCCTTAAATTTGGCATCCAGATTGTTGCCCTCCAAACCTCATCACTGGCCCACCATCATTACAGGCTAATGAATTCAAATTTCCCAATCTGCTCCTTTTCATTTCCAGTTCACGCCCAAAATGAAGTTCATGCTGATGGACTGCTGTTCAATCCCAGGAGAGGAGTAAACACTGGTTTGTCATCCGCCCACAGTGCATGAGGGTCCGAGTTTATGCCGTATCTTTTTTGGGCTCAGCCAAACACCTTACGCCTTTGACAATAACCGAGTTCAGACCCAGCTGGTGTTCTGTAAATGTCTCCCACGTGGGGGAACGAAGCTCGAGAGCCTGATTTAGGGGTTTAGTATTTGCCCGTCGCCCCTGACTGGACCTCGCTGCATTTGAATGAAACTCCTGTGAGCGTTTATGCCTTTGTCCAAAGCCCCCTCCATCAAACTGCCCCCTGCCTGCAAAGCACCAGTATTCCCATCTACCCCAAACTCTAATGAAAGCACTTCTCCAGTCCAGTTTTCTTTTCTGTACAGTTTAAAAAGGCGACGCTGTTTGATGCCCATCGCGTCGGATGGATCGCCATGATATTCATGGTCCCCGGTGGACGAATCCCACTGACTCGGTTGATCTCCTGATATCTGAGGCGGCATCGTGAAGAGACTTTTTTTTGTCTTGTAGTGAAATACCTCAACGATTTTTGTCCTTCACCCGCCCTTTCAACGCGGACTAGCCCCTGTAGCATCGTAGCATCGACAACTTTCTGTCTCTGCTCTGTAGACAACCAATCAACTTGGTTATGGTGAGAAAATAAACATCATGGTTTGTCTTAAACTATTAACGCAGCATCTCAACCTAATGTGACGCAAAAAAACACAACAATTTATGGCTTCTCATTGGCGCTCCTCGACATTTCAAACATGGTCACTTCCTGTGAATTGGTTGTAGAGAAACAATACGGCATTTCTCTCTCTCTCTCTCTCTCTCTCTCACTCACACCGAGCTTCTCGTAACCACAGAGACTTTATTCTGAAGTGAGATGTGCTCATGTTTTTCATGTGTTCCTCTCAGCAGCTGTGTGTGTCTGTGCGTGTGTGTCTGTGTGTGTCTGTGTGTGTGTGTGTGTGTCTTCCTGACACTGCTTGTACTTCGCTGAAGTTCAACAGCAGACACAGACGGGTCGATGCTGAGACGCAGTTTGCTGAGGAAGAAGACACACTTTGATTTATCTGACGTTTCTGGATCACACCGGAGTTTTTATGGAGGCATGTTGGAGTTTTTCAAACACGGGTTGGGAGTATTTAGAGGGTCACATTCAGGGCGTAGGCCAGGAGTTCAAATTCCCACAAACTTTCTACAAATCAAACTTAGATCTATTTTCAAACGTGATGGTTTTCAATACTTTGATGTCCTTTAGTCTGTTTTGTCTGTAATGTTTTTTAAGAGGGGTCACTTTGGGGCAACACATCGACTTCCTTTTAGCAGATGTAGTGAATCTGTCTCTCGCTTTCAGATGCTTTTTGGTCCCTACCAACAAAGGGACACGTTGGCTCTTTATCAGCTAAATCAATATTTGTGTACGTGCGTTAATCTTATTTATGTAGGCCGATTACGCAAATGTATCGAATCTGTACAGTCATTGATGACCTACAAATAAGGGAAAACCGCCCCCAAACAAAACCCTTCAGCGGAATCAGCTCCTCACAGATGTTTGCCGCCACCAAATAATGGCGTGGCAGTTTACATCTGTCCGTCCAAAATGTCGTCACTCGGGATTCGGGCGCCACGTTCCTGTTAAATCGAGGCCGAGAACGTTTTTTTGAGCTTGGAACAGCAAATTATAATCACAGAACTCCTGGAGTGCAGGTGGAAGTTCATGCATGATTTGAAGAAACTGCCCCTGAGACCTGGCATTCATGAGATCAGCGAGACGGAACGTTGGACAATCAGAAAACCATGGAGGGAATATGGACTCTGATTTGGGTTGAAAAGCAGCTTGTGTAATCGTAGAAGCTGATTAGCCGGTGAGAGGCTTTGCATCAGCAGAACATCTGTGCTGCAGCTGGTTAGCAACAGGAGCTAGTGGATGTCACTATGAAGATGAGGAGGAGAAGGCTGCACATCAACCAGGAAGGCTGGTTGTTTATTTGGGGGTTCGCATGAAAAAGGCGACCCACCTGTTGAGTGATGCAAAGGAAGCTGGTCAGGAAACCTTTTCTCACCTCTATCGAGAGGGAATTGGATGTGAATGTCAGATTCCAGGTTTCAGAGAGTTACGGAAGTTGTTGGATGATGACGATGCTGAGTTCAAGCCCCAAAAAAATCGAAGTGTGAAAATGAAATGCTTGACATGTGTTAAGTTGTTTTTTAAGGTGCGATACTCTAAGGACGAGTTTAAGACGACAATCAGAACCATTTAAGTTGCATTAATCCAAACGTTCTACATTCGTACCAATAGAAACAGAGCAGTGACATTTATGTAACAAATGTATTCCCAGAAAAAAGGACCCGAGAGGGTTTGAGTTGAAGACGCGGGGTTGTTGCATGTCGAATGCCCCCGGCAACATCGCCAACGATGACAAGACAAACAAAACAAACCCAACAAACTTGTATCCGATGATAAAGTGCAGTGAGAGGGAATTAGATCAACATTGATCACGGCGCCGCGGCGGCTCAGCAGAGCGCCGGAGCCCCCGGGCGGGTGTTCTGCTGCGGACCTAATGAGGTCGTAAGGGGCTGAGATTTGATTATTCTGGGGGGGAAACTGACCTGAGGGGGGCATAGATTGCGCTAACACAGGCGGAAAAAATCTGATTCACACTCTGTGAAAAGTGGAAATGCGGACGCTGCTGCCCTCTCGGAGCTGATTGGGGAAGACACATGGACTTTCGGCTCAGACTCCAGCGCGAACACATCCAGCTTCATTGCTGATCTCATTTTAACTGTATGGAATTTGACTTTTATGGAATTTTATGAAACTTTCATTTCATTCACTCAAATGTCAAATTTTGTATTTTGTCGACATTTACAATGTTTTTTTTAATTGTATGTACACATATATATTTATTACCAGGAAAATCTATGAAAATCTATATTATATATAACCTCTGGGTTTGACTGTTTTACGAAACCCGCTGTTTATGTATCAACAGCATTGTCAGATTGTCCATACTTTAAAACTCTAGGAAAAGCTTTTGTTGGAGTCGATGCAGCATTTTTTAAAGTGGTATTCTTGTCCTAAAAAAGCAGAGGTGAGTCTCCGTAAATATCTGTCCCCTGCGACCTTCCTCTGGCAGAGTGGAAACCTGATCCTGAGGTTTAGTGAAGGAAACACATTTCAACAACATCTCCTCCCTGAAAAATAAGAATAAAATGCTGCTGACACCAGCATGTTTTGCCTGTTTTATAGTCGTAACCGGCCTGATTGGATGGTGATGGATGGTTCAAATATAAAAGACTGGGGGAGGAGGGGGGGGGTAAGGGGGTTCTGGAGGGCCATGAATCTGGCTCACCCTTCAGATCTCTGTTATGTTAAGATATGAAAGCATTATTTGGATAGTTTCACTTCTGTTATCAGAAAAACCCTAAATCTAATTATAGTGACCGAATGTAATTTTGCTTATGACCTGCTGTCACACCGGTTAGTTCGGGATCAGAGAGGAGCAGAGAGTCAGAACCTGTCGCAGTAGAATCAGGGGTTTTCTCGAGGGAGAGATGCGACACTACCACTTCAGTCCACAGGGGGCGACGCAAAACAAAGGTCTTCTCCTTTTTCCTGCTGTGCGTCCACTGTTTTTAGTTACTTAACACCAAACCAGGCTGAGATTCCATAACATAATATACTGTCTGCCAGTCCATGATGAAATATGCTTATCCTCTGAAAAAAAGAGAAAAGAATCAATCATTGATGTAAAAGGTTCAAGAATATAAAACACAAAAAATTGGTCAAATATGTGGACAACTCGAGGCGAAGGCTTTAATTCGATCTCACGTTGTTCTGTTCTTTCTCTGTTCAGGGACAGAAGCAGAAAGAAGAGAATCCAGAAGGTCAGATAGAGTTCCTGGTGAGTTTTTGGTTTGTCAGAGCGGCGCGCACTCGCGCTTCACTGCAAACTGCAACGTATCGGTACCGAAAACACAACTGTTACTCCCAACAGCAAGATATGAAAGGATGGGTTTGTTTCAGGAGGTTTTTGTATGACCCTTCAACACTTAAAGTGCAAACTCTTAGTTTGAAAGGCTCGCTGTGAAGATCTTCTAGAGTCCGTTCCAGCGTTGCTGCGCTCAGCCTTTTACTGCAGGATTCTCCTGACCAGACGCTACCGAACCTTTGAAATAAAGACGGAATAATAAATGCATATTCCAGAATGGAGCCGGGTGACATTTAGAGTTCATCCTCCGCCCGCCTCGCTGTGGATTACTCGGCCCAGATGGGACCGTCCTCTGGCTCGGAGAGAAGGTGGAGGGCCGCTGATCAATGAAAACTGTCTGACTTGTTCATGTATCGGAAAATTGATTTCCAGCCGAGGCACTTTTTTTATTTTTTTCAACAAATCGTTCAAATTTGCTGAATGTGGGCAATCCGCCTGGAGCCGGTGATGCAAAACCCCATGCGACAAGACCCCTGTTACCATGGTAACCACCTCTTCAGATAAAGTAAACATGTATATTTTATCCCCACAGAACAATTCTCCCAGAAGTGAGTTTTTGCATGTAGGTATTCGAATGAAGGTGTTTTATTTGTGGACATGTGGTGAGAGAATAAACTTTGACGGAACTTCACTAATCATCAGGGAAGGTGTCTCTGAAGGGAGGGTGGGGGGGGCATTAAACAGATGAGAGGGGGGGGGGGGACATGAAAAAGAGATACGAGTTCACCGGTGGGAGAAGGAAGGGAAGGAGACAAGTGGAGAGAGGAGGGACTTGGGAGGAGTGATCACATCGAAATGAGGAATGAGTCACGCAGAAGGGACGAGGTAGACGGGATTGGTTGAAGAGGGAGTTGGATGGAGATGAGAGGGATTAAAGAAATATCGGGAGGACAGGGAGAAAGATGAGAGAAATGGGGAGGCGGCGGGATGGGGTAGTGAATTAATTCCACGGATGCCAGCGTAGGACAGCTTTGTCCGGCTGAAGGGAAAATCACTTTGAGTAGATATCGTATTGATTCATGAGCGATGCTACTTCATCACGGCGACAAGGGTGGAGCCCCCGCAGCGTGACGGGACGATGGGAGGCTGCAGATAAAAATGGGCGACTTTTGAATGAAAAAAGGCCATTGTTTTGACCTCACTTCAACGGCAATTAAGGATTCTCTTTCCTTATATTCATAGTTATGGCATCTGATGTTCTTCTTTTAGTACATCCCTCCCAATTAAGACTGTTGTTCTACTCCCACGAGGTGTCATTTCTTCTCTAAAACACCATGAAGCGTTTATTTGATATATTGCAAAAGTCTCCTGGAAACAAGGACGACGTTTGGTCATCAGATGTCAGATGTTTCCCCCCCCCCCCCGCCACCTCCGCATTGCCATCATCCAACGACTCCCTTAACTCTCTGGAACCTGGAATCTGACATTCACATCCAATTCCCTCTCGATAGAGGTGAGAAAGGGTTCGCTGACCAGCTTCCTTTGCATCATTTACTCAACAGGGGTGTCGCCTTTTTCCTGTGAACCCCTCAGGCTCAAACCTGCTTTCAACATTCACATCAAATCAGTGTCTTTCACAATCCATCAACATCATTATTTTGAAGTCGGGATGCTGCAGCGAATCGATTCTTACCGCCTGCATTATAAATAGCTATAGTCAGGATTTTTAGCATCAATATTTATTTTGTTTGAGTACAAAGAAGGTGCCCATCCTCTCTAATTGCCATTAATGGGATATTTACTACTCCAGCAGAGTAGAAGATAACAATTGGGATTGATTCATTTCTTTGTCTGCATGTTTGAGAGGTTCTAAGTAATCTCATTATTTCTGCACAGAAGTGCTCCTGAAGGCTTGAAGTCTATTTCGGATTAGATCTACATTGTTCCCAGTGTGTCGCCAACTACGGCCTGACTTTGTTTAGTTTCCTCAAGTCCTTGAGCCTGTAAATCAAAGGTCACGTATTTGCCTCTCCAAAGAGGCGGAATTGCGGTGTTTTTTGACACCAGGCGATGACAAATATTCTGCCAACGCTGCGTTTTCGTTTTTCAGGACTACAACAACGTGTCACCTGGCGTTTGGCTCCCGGTGCTGTCAAAGCGTCCTTGAGCAGAACATCAAGCGGCGATGTGGCAAGGTTACAGGGTTTTCTCTTACTTCTCCAAACTGGGCATTAAACTGCAGTTGATAAACTTATTGATGCATATAAAGCTGTAATAATAATCATTTTTTGAATTTGTTATTTATAGGGTCATTTTTATATTTCCTTTTGAAAAACGTGTTATATTATTGTTATTATGTACTGTTATTGTAATAATTTTAAATATTTTAAATATTTTTTCAAGCGTATTGGACACTATAGAGACATGCTGCTATTGAATACATTCTATTAAAGCAAACTCTTGCTGATAATTATCGATAATCCTGATGTTATCGTTAAATTATATTTATCATATATATTTCTCCAAAGCTGACAAACCTGCTTTCCTGAGTTTCTTGTTCCGGAACACGGACACGATGACCAGCAGGTTCCCGAGAACGTCCACCACGATGGTCGTGATCAGGACGCCGGCCAGCAGGGTCGCCACCCAGGGGAAGGGCTGGTGCTGGTGACCCGGAGCCCCCTCCTCCCCGGGCGGCGTGGCGTTGTGCGGCCCCACGGTCCCTTCCATCGGGGTGGGCTCTCGGTCCTCCAGGGACATCAGCTGAGGAAGGTGCCTCGCGTCGATGAGTCCCATCGGGTCGCGGAGTGACCGTCCGCTCAGCATTGCGCACGAGGTGGGGGGGGCGGAGGTCAGTCGGAGCTTTTTAACAGTGGCACGGGGGGGCTGCTCAGCCTATATGGTGACGCCAGGCCACATGCTGGGCCATTGGAACGGGCGGTTTGAACCTAACGACCATACACAACGAAGCAGCAGTGCACTGTATATAAGTGATGTCTCAGCGGGTCAGAACCGGCGGTCTGATCGGCTGTTTCAGCTTACTTTGATTCAGTGAGAAACTTGGAAAACTTCCTCGACGTGTCGGCGATGACAAAAGCTTCGACTGCGGACTAAAGCGTCTCCACTCATTCCCCCACAACGAGTCCCAGTAAGAAAACGTTAGGAAGCTCCACGCGTCTTCATCGATTGCGGGTTGTTTTCGTAAAGCTTTCGTTTCGGGTCCACGTCCAGCGGTGCGCGCACCGGGGAGCCGGGCGCACCACCGCGCGTAATGGCACCGCAGCAAGAATGTCCTTTTTGGATTTCTGCGATAGTATCTATTGTCTATAATGCAACCCGACGGATGATAATCTATCAATCCTCTGAGCATTCATTGAAGGAAAAAGGCATCTGACAGTAAGCAGCACGAGCTTTTCTCCACTCTGAGGTCGCGTTACTCCAACCCCGCGCCCAGCCCCACAGGACGGTGTGCGCACTCCCATTTAGACCCTCACGTGTCCTAGTCGATGACGTTCACCCAATAATCAAAATTCCCATCGCTCTCTCTCTCTCTCTCTCTCTCTCTCTCTCTCTCTCTCTCTCTCTCTCTCTGCTGTTGTACTTGTGTAAATGTGTGTCTGTGTTAAACACTCTCACTCTCTTTGAGTCCTCAATCTCACCTTCAACGTTTTCAGTCAGTCGATGTCGTACGAGAATTGAAATATCATTTAATTTATTTACGAGGCTTGTAAATCATGAAACGTGTTTCAGGTCACACTCATCTAGTTTTGATGAAGCTGAAATGAGATCTGCACCCTTTTCTCCACTGGGAGTTCTGCTCTTACTCACTCGTCCTTATTGCATTTATTGGCCAAAGGAAAGGTGGCATGAGTTGGAAGTCCACAAATCCAGTGGTCTCTTGCTGACATCTAGTGCAGGGACGGATTTCCTTTCACCCCCAAAAATGGCTTTTTGGCCCAAAGGGAGCCGTTAATAGGACACGGCAGAGCGGAAAACCTCACAGCTCAGACGGAAACCATTCAACACAGGAGTGTAAATGCACAATAATAAAATAAGAACTGGGCAGGTGGGGCGTCTCATCACACATGTACTTTGTTGACGCTTACAGTAAAAGACCAAAGTCTCGACTCAATATTTAGTTTCTTGCATGTAAGCATCCGCACACACGTCTTTCTTGTTATGTTTAACTAGGCATTTTACTTCAGATGTGTTTCCTTCAGATGTGTTTGATGATTGTAAATCATTTTTGAGGATATCGGAGAAGAAACACACACACACACACACACACACACATTCATGCACAGAAAACCCGCCTCTTGTGGTTGTTAGGGTTAACACACCTCTCCGAACCCTTCTCGGTAGATTCCAGTCACGTGCACGCTCTCAGAGGGTTTTAGGAACCCGAGGCCTTTACCCTCCGGGTTCGGTGTAAGAAGAGCAGAGGCTCACCTGAAACCATGAATGGAGGAGTGTTGATCGGCATCACTAAATGAAGCCCGGAGAGTCGGGTCGGATTTTAAAAATTCTCTTTCATATCAGAGTATTTCAAAAGTTGTCCTTTAAAAACAAAAAAGAAATTGGTTTGAGTGGCAAGTCTTCTATCACCTGAGATGAACCCAACTTTGAGAAAGTCTTAGTCTCCCATGTAGTTTCTTGTTTCTTTCTTCTGAGCAGATTTAAAGGTCGAAAAGCTAAAAGTTGAAAAGCTTGTCTAAATATTAGACTTAACCTAAATAACTCTTGTTTCTGGCCTGGTCATTACTTCTGCTTAAATCTGAATCTGAGATCAAGATGAACTCCCCTCTTCCACGCACACACACACGCACACACACACACACTCTGATAGTGGATAATGAGGACGGCACCCGGGGTATTGAAATAATTGAAACTGTTTGATGTCTTGTCAAATATTATTCACTCACACCTTAACCTTTCATCATAAAAGTGAAATAGACACACACACACACGCACACACACACACACACACAACACATGTTGCTGTGTGATCTTTGAAGCTGTACATGGAAACTATAGTTTGGAATATAATATATAATGAAGCGTCACAGGAGCAGCTTTATAAGACATTCGTTTTGTTTATTGTTTTTTACTCGCTGAAACAACAAGATTTCATCTTCGTCGAATTGGAGGAGCGACAACTAGCCAGGGGAGGCTAACGGCAGCCCCAAGCAAGCTAACGGCAGCCGGGGCAGGCTAACGGCAGTCCCAAGCAAGCTAACGGCAGCCAGGGAAGGCTAACGGCAGCTAGGGCAGGCTAACGGCAGCCCCAAGCAAGCTAACGGCAGCCAGGGCAGGCTAACGGCAGCCCCAAGCAAGCTAACGGCAGCCAGGGCAGGCTAACGGCAGCCCCAAGCAAGCTAACGGCAGCCGGGGCAGGCTAACGGCAGCCCCAAGCAAGCTAACGGCAGCCGGGGCAGGCTAACGGCAGCCCCAAGCAAGCTAACGGCCGCCGGGGCAGGCTAACGGCAGCGCAGCCAGTCGTAGAAGGCCCGAACCAACACAGATAATCTGAAGAAGCCGAGACGGCTATAAAGAAGGAGAGCAATGATGGGGAAGGGAGTAGATGGGAGGAGAAGTAAAAGCAGTCCTTTGGGGGGGCTGCACATAAAAAACACTAAGCTGAAAAGAGAAGGTTTTTTTGAAAGGGGGGTTGAAGGGTCGGAGCCATCTAACCCCCACAGCTGCGTCTTCTCAAAAGAAAAATGGTAAGATATAACAGGGAATGGTGGTGATAATATTCAGTCTTAATGTTTTTAATCCTGCAGGCCAATGCACAGGGATTTGGAGATGCTTTTAAAGAAAAAACAGAGTTAGTCTGCAGGAGACACAGTAGAAAAATAATCTTAATTTTCGTCACATGTCCGGGTTGGGTGGGCCGTGTTTGTAAGACAAGGACTCCCATATAGAAGAGTAAATATGATATATCAGAACGACAGTGTGTAGTGACAAAGTGTGGAGCTCCGCAGGGTGTTTTTCTTGCATTCTGTTGCATATTAAAAATAAGTTATTTAATGGATAAAGTTTGGTTCCCAGTGGTGAGATTTTTATGCTCGTAATGATTTATGGGGATGCAAAGGGTGAAAACGGTGCGTTAGTGGGAGATTTCCCGAATGAATGCTCTCTTGTGGTGTTGAGTGATGAGAGACCTACAAGAAAAACAAAAACGACAATTATACAAAATACATGCTGAGTTTAATTGAATGACATGTTGCTAACAATATTTTAGACCAGTATAAAGAAAACATGCTTAACAAAACTGGGCGTTGTAGGGGAAACAGTTTTAGAATAATAATTATGACACGGAGTTCTTCATGCGTAATATGATAGTTTTGTAGAGCACAGGTATCGCCAATAAATGCACTAAAATGTGAGTTTCATGAGTAAAACTCAATGGATATCATGTTAAATCGGTTTTAGTCATTTCCTCTATCATTATGTGTGTTTCAGGCTGTGGTGGGAAATATTACATATTCCTACCCAAAGCTTTTTGATGGTGATATTGGATTTTGGATTTTCATTGGGGATTTTCAAGGTCAAAATAATAAAGTGTTAAATATGGTTGTAGCCATCTTAAAAGGAAAAGCAGTTGCTTCAATATTATCTCTTGAAATATAAAATATTGTTGGAGAAGAAGGGTTTGTATCATGACAAATTGCTCTTTTCTAATCCTTATTTCAACATGTCAAGAGTTTACTCCATTTTGGGGGGGATTAAAAAGTAACACAGAGGCAGGAGCAGCAAATGACTCAGAACCAACGGCAGGAATCTCTTCACAGTCCTTCTGCTGTGTGTTTAGTAACATTTGGACCAGAGGTCACTATGTTCTCTGAAATTAAATATATCTCCTACTAACTCACCAAGCTGGAGCCTCAGATTAGACTCGCGAGGCTTTCTTAATGTGTTTTAATGTCTCAACTAAGGGCCTCGCAGGCACAACATGTAATACACCTGAGATGACAACACCTTTTTACTGGGACACCGATGTGTGTGTGTGTGTGTGTGTGTGTGTGTGTGTGTGAATGACAGGGAGGAGGAGGGTGATTGACAGCTGACTCTGAGAGGTCAGGCTGCTCCACAGCTGAGGTTCTGAGACAGTACGGTATAGATAGATACCTATCTTGTAGTTGTTCTACTCCAAATGTGAAGTAAATTTAAAGTGTGCTTTTAATATAATCTTTTAGAACATTTTGAAGTACTGGAAAATAAACAAAATATGTCTAAAATCCAAATAACCCCTGATGTCCTATGATGACTCTCATCCCGTCCGGAATGTGCTTTATCTTTATTTTATTTGCAGACAGTGATTAACTTGCAGAGGTGTTAGCAATGTTTTTTCCGACAGATGCTAAGAAGAAGCAGCAAGAAGTCCTGGAAGATGATTCCTTTATTTATATTCTCTGTACAATATTGAAAAAAAGGAACAGAAAGACGGCATCTCAATAAAATCTCTCACAGAGAAACAACTGGGAAAAACATGGAGGGGGCACATTTATAAAAAAATAAAATTTATGATGAAATGCAACCTACATTCAAGTGAAGCCATGTTCCGCACAAACAACGACACGTGGATAAAGATCGTATGTACAACACAATACCTGTACACTATCAGCGATGGAAGTTAAGCCACAAATACAACAATCATTACAGAATTAATCGATTTCACACAAAAAAAAACGCACAATGTGCATGAACCTGAACGAAGTTCTTGGGCTGAAACAAAAACACAATAAATACAGTTGAATGTATGATGAAAAACCGTCAGGAGTTTTACGTTAGGACCCATTAATATTAATGCACAACACAACATTCACTTAAAAGGATCTAAAGCTTAAATGGAGATCTCTCCACTTTTTAAATGTCTGATTTCAGCCACAGTTTGTAAAATGTAATCTTTCTCTTTTCAGAATGCAGGAGTCTCTTACGGCACCTTTAGGTCCTTTCAGTCAAGCTTTTTTAAAATCGTGCCAAAGATCAGCAAGACTGGTGTAAAAAGCAGCAGTGGCTAAATATGTAATGTACTAATATTTATAGTGTTGTTAGATTTCACACATTTCTGATGGCAGATGAGAGAAAATAATGTGATGTTGAAGCTGAAATGAAAAGTTGATGCACGGAAAATCAATTAATTGTTTGGAAATTTTAAGTAGAAAATGATGCAATGACACAATGATGATAATGATGTTTAATTGTTGCTTTTAGGTAACACATTGACTACTTATTCAGTGTGATTGTTTCACGTTGAATACACAACAAACTATTTACCAAAACAACAGAACTTTCATCTCGAGGCGCTGCATATTTACACCATTTAAAATGTCCGCATGGACATTCATTCACTGCTGCACATTTGATTAAATTCAAATCACACAGAATCAACAGTCGCGACACCAGGAAGAACTCAAAGTTAAAATGTACTTCAGCAGTGACATGAGCCGTGTGAGTGAGGATCCAGCCCCCCTCATCGCGTCACGATGTCACAGCAACAGCAAGCACATTTTCACATAACAGCGTCATTCGTTAATACCTTTACATCGGACACGAGGCCTCCGACATCAGACACACAAGGTGTGGGGGGGGAACTCCAGCTCAGCCTTCTAGTCTGAACTTTGAGAAGTTGAACAAATGAAAGACGGCCCAGCTCTCGTTCCACTCGGCGCGCTAGTCTGTGGGAGGAAACGGAAGGCTTCCTTCGAGGCGCTGCGCTGGTACGCAGAGCTGCCTCGGGGTCGGGGTGTACTCGCACGGTCAAGCGTTCAAAGGGAATAATCACAGAAAAAAGACGCACGTTGCTTCTGAGATGAAAGAAAGACTTTGCTCTCAAAACATCACCTCCTCGCAGCTCCCGTAGTCGCTCTCCACCAGGCTGGAGCTGTCGTAGCTGCGCTGGTTGGGCCTCGCCGGCCTCCTGGCCTGAGGCTCGGCGGTGTGGGCCTGGGGGGGAGGCGGCGGGGGCGGGGCTTCGTGCTCCGCGTACGACGGCATGGCCACGCTCAGTCGCATGCTGAGCCTCTTGTACCCCCCCGACACGTTGTCCAGGCTGCGGGCGTGCTGCCTGGGGTAGTAGCTGATGGCGGTGTACTCGTTGGGGCACTGGGAAGTGGGCAGGGGGAGCCCGTCGGGGCCCAGGAAGACCTCCAGGTCCTGGTTGCTGTAGCAGGGCGGCAGGGGGGCGCGGCGGTCGCAGCGGTCCAGCGGAAACGGGAAGCCGCCGAAGCGGGAGCTCCTGCGCGAGTCCAAGGTGGAGGTGGCGGAGGCGTCCTCCACAATGTCGAAGTCCCGCCCCAATGGCCGGCCGTAGTAGTCCGGGTCCGCCGGGTAGACTGAGGAGAGAGGAATTTAGACAAATTTTTCCCCCCAAGTAATTCTTAAAAGTAATTCTTGACCTAATATTGTAAGAGGGCTGTCAATAAATAAAAATAAAAAAAAATTGTGAATCATCATTTTTTTCCTCATTTTTATTATTTATTTATTTTCCACCACATTTCTCGAGCTGACATATTTAGATTTTTTAATCGAATTCTTTGACTTTTTTTTTTCACCAAATATATTTTGACTTTTCACCTATTATTTTTTTGAATGAATATTTTTCGACATAAAATATTTTCGATTTGTTTTTAAAAACAATTTTGGGATTGACATTTTTTCCATGATGGAGGGAGATAACAGAAAGGCTTCTGGGCAGACGGAAAGATGTGTGAAAATGGCAGACTTAACCACTTTTACAAATCGACCTTTCCTTCAAAGTAACTTGTTTTTTACTTGAATATCCTTTTTTCGAACAAAAGTCCAAAAAACTTCTTTGAGGCCTCGTGAGTTGATGAATAATCCCGGCTGTTGGTTGCCTTTGAAGTGATGAAAGTTAGGTACGTGTTCACTTCGGTTTTGTTTGGTTCTGCGAGGAGACTCTACATTAGTATTTCTCTCTCTACATCTGGTATTCAAGCGTTCTTTAAAAAAAGGACCGATGAGTTCAATAAATTCCACTTCTCAAAACATGAACGTTTGCTGTTGCGAATAACGGAGAAATCTAAAAGGGGCTGAACAAGGTCATTTCTTCATTTGAAGCTTCAGTCCGTGATGTTTGAGCATGAATAAACTACCGATCAGCGAGGCTTTATCAAGAGGTTCGGGTGAATAACATCCATCTTCCCCCGCAGGAGGCTCAAGTCGTACAACAAAGAGCTTTAAAGTGTAAAATTTAATGAGAAATAGAAAAAAAAACCTGAGGCGTGACACAGAGAAATATCAATGCAATACTTATAGCTATATATAATAACTAAAACTCAGCCCCTTCCTCCAGAACTTTGAATCAGGGAACATGTGCGCTGTAGTTTAAGGGCCTGGAAGCTTTTTGATATAATATCTAAAAAGAGATGCGGCGGGTGAAGATTTTAAAAAAGTGTGTGGTGGAAATATGAGACAAACAAACATTGTGTGGCAGTGAAATCTGTATTTCTTTAAACGGTATTTGCTTGAGACAGATTAAGAAAAAGGGGGCGAGAGAAATGAAGAGGGGTTAGAGACAGAAATACAAAGAGAGAGCGGGAAGGTATCACAGAATATAGAATGTGCACATTTTGAGATAGATTAATCTCGAATAATAACTGTTGTGGTTGTTCCAATGTTGTTTTTAGTGAAAGTTTGTTTTTCTTCTACAGACTAAACCGTACAAGTAACAAGTACTTTCACTTTAGAAAACATATTTTAGACACTGTTGTTTAATTGGTAATGTTTTTTTAAACACAGAACAACACATATTTGATCGCTAGCTTAGCCTAGCAGCTAGTTTAGCATAGCGGTGCTTTAAGTGGTCCTTTTGCCACTCAGCCCCCTTCTGATTGACTGATTGTTCTCACCTATGTGTCGCGTCTCTGTTTGTTTCACTTCCAATGCAAAAAGATCTGTCATTGTTAGCTAACGTCGTGCTTTCTCCGATGTAACTGACGGCAGCTAGTCGCCGGTTTACTTCCGGAAGTAAACAAAGGTACGTTAACTATACGTTAAAATATTTTGTTGCAATAATCTTGGCCACATTAATTGCATAGATAGACGACGAGGGGGGATAAATGTGGACGCCGGTTTCATCAATCCCCAAAAACTAAAAATCTGAGATATTACACTCAACGTTTTTTCAATCTGAAATTGGGCAGTTTGATTGAGGCTCTCGTCACACTGCTTAATTTCCAGTGTGTAGTTGTGCATGTGGCATTCGTGGCTTTGAGGCCGACATTGAAGGCGATATTGATCCATTCTTTCCTTCTGACAGTTAGAGGTCGCCTACCTTCGTAGTCCATGTCCCAGCGGCTCTTCCTGATGGAGTCGTTGTCGGAGCTGGACGGCGGCCTGGGCGGCAGGTTCGGGGCGACGCTGCACACCACCGGCCCCTGCGTCTTCGGGGCGTAAACCCCGCCCCCCGAGGAGACGATCTGGCTGCAGGGGCGAAGCGACCTGAAGGGGGAGTGGTCGAGGTCGTTGGTGGGACCCACCAGCGAGCTCATCTCCATGGGGCGGGCCTCCCGGGGGTCGGGGTTGAGGCTCCTGGTCAGATTGGGTTGGAAGTAGCTGAGGGTTTAATGAGTCAATGTATTAATTATTATTAATTATGGATCATGGTGGAAGAAAAGCAACTTTCTTCTGATGTCCCTGCAGAACTTCACTATCTCATTCATAACGATTTTGTTTTTTGATGGATTGGCCGGTTTCTAACTTGACATTTTCATTTCCACTTGATGCAGAAGGTTTTATGACAAAACTATGAAACTATAAAAAGAATGCTAATTACAGCCGATTCAAACGTTGTTGTTTTTTTAAACCTGGATATATGGAAATTGTGTATAATGTTGAAGACTTAATAAAATAGGATTAGATAGGAATGTTTTTTTCACAAAGTAGATTATTGTACTAGAGATCAGAGATTACTGCAGAGTAATACCTAACAACCTAACATAAACATACAAACATACAAAGTGTAAATAAGACACATTAATTCAGTAAAATAAACAAAAATAGAAAATGACAAGAGTAGGAATATAACGTGTATAAGAAGTTACAATAACACACTAATAAAAAGTAATATTGGCAGTAATATTAGCTATAAAAGGCAATAAACCTTTTATTGATCAGAATGGAATCTGATCTCTGCACTCGAACACGTGTTCTTACCCGTTGGAGTCCTGGACGGGCTCCTTCTTCTTCTTCTCCTTCTTCTTCTTCTTCTGAACGTAACGCTTCCTGATGCAGACGAAGGCGCCGACCAAGAAGAGCAACCCGAGCACGCTGGCACTGATCTCCATGATCTCCACGTAGCCCATCGGAGACACCTGATGGAGGCGCAGGGCCGTTGATGGATTGTGAGTCATTGAGGACACACACACACACACAGATAATGAAGGGACTGACCTGAGACAGCAGTCTGCAGTCGAGGATGTTGTCTATACAATCGAAGCCTGCAGGACACGGATTGGGCCAACACTCCGTCCGGTTGTGGCACCTGCAGGAGGAAAGGAATTTTTATTGAGTGATTCAGAGGACGAATCCTTATGGTTTTATGCTGAATTCTGGTTGTGCGCCTGTGACATGTCGGCGTGTACACTTGGCATAGACGGAGGTAGTAATTCTATCAATGAAAAACTCTGCTGAAGACGGTGAGATGCATTTAAAAGCTAAAAAAAACTGATAAGATAGTGAGGCATGTTTCATTAAATGTAGTAAATAGACCCCTATACGTCTATTTACACCATTTTTACTATAATAGGTTTCCACTGAGTTCAAGTCTCAATCTGCCAAAGGAAACACGATTCGGGATATAAAATGTGTGACCATGGAGCGATAAGGAGGCCGCTGCATGTTATCACACAGCCGGCATCCCTAAGGAGGAACATGCAAATGCTGCTGTAGGTTGGTTCCGACGGGCCCCTCCTCCCTGTCAGCCCGCGGCGGCGTGAGCGGAATACGACCGGCAGGTTGAACGACTGTGTGCGTGTGTGTGTGTGTGTGTGCCTGCTAATAGAATACGACCAATCACAAATGCATGCAATTTAGCACGCCATGTTGGCATCATGATAATATTTCTGTAAACAGGGTTTCACTTGTGAGACGGAATGACGGACTGTCAATCACAAGTTAGCCCCGCCCTGATGCATCGGTTTGATGGACCCTCCTTTACTGAACGAACATCATGCTGTACTGGAGAAGACTTGAGACCACAGTAAATGATTAAAGTAGGGAATAAATTCAACGTGTGCGTGTGTTTACCGTGCGTCCGGCAGGCACCTGCACATGTAACCCTGAGGTCCTGCACACCTGCAGCGCAGCTCTGCAGAGAGAATAAAACACACCGCACGTCTTAGAGGAGAGAGGAAAGGGGCCATTCGTCCTCCCCTCCAGCGAGACATCAGAGCAAAGGTCAACCCGATGCAGAGCGTCTTTGATCCATAGAGGGGAGGAGTCCGCTTTCCTCTGCGCGGGCAGAACAACAGACAACGTGCAACAGCTACAAACTAGTTATTGGAAATGTTTTTTCACAAAGTACCAACAGTCAGTACTTATGTTTTACGTCAGACATTTTGTATTTACGTCTAAACACAAATAGAGAATCAACCGATTTGAGAAGAGCTGATTTACCCCCACGGGGACGTGAGACTGCCTTAAACCAGTCTGAGACTGTGTTGTTTCATTATGTATTTATTGTAATTAAAAGCCCTTACACTATAAGAAGAAGAAGAAGAAAACTCGCTTTCTCTGTTTTGATAACAAATATTGTTTTCATTTTCTTAGCCTACTAACAGAGTTTAAGTAAAAGTAAGGAGGGGGGGTTATTCTGCAGTTTTTATAAGAACTGATTCAGCCTATTTGTTATAACCTGAAGACAACATTTTTGTCGTATTGATTTCCAACATTGGGCCACAATCCTCGCAAAGACGGATTTATTTTATGTTTAGTCTTAAGTCAATATAAGTCCCATGAAAAGGGCAGCGAGTTCATCACTGACTGACATTATCATCATTATATCAGTGAGTGAGACGACCCCCTCCAGTGGACCCACCTCCGCTGGCGTCCTCCTCACAGACCCCGTCGTTCTGACAGGGGTCGCCCTCGCAGGCCGCCGCCCCGCCGCAGCACCGGTAAACCCCGAACACCCGCCGCCCCCCCGGGCCGTCCCACTCCGCCGCCCCGGCGTCCGCTCGGACCGGCGCCCCGTCGAGCTCCAGGCCGTCCAGGCAGCCGGTGAAGTTCCGCTCCGGGGCGGCGGCCCCCGCCGGAGAGGAGGCAAAGAGCACTGCGCCGTGGCGGCTCAGCATCCGGCACGGCTCGGCCAGCGGCGCGGAGGAGGTGTCGCGGCGGTCCAGGGTCAGGCGCAGGGAGCTGGAGTTGACCTCCAGCAGGACGTCGTGCCACCGGCCGTCCGACAGCCGATCGGAGCGGATCAGCAAAGAGCCGGGGGGGGCGCCGCCACAGCTGAACCTGAAGAGCAGCTCGCCGTCGGTCAGCTGGGGAGGGAAGCGAAGGGTCAGCGATGATGTGGAGCTTTTAATGTGCTGGAAGAACAAGTGGAACCGTCAACGCAAACTCAAGGTTCACGCTACGGCTCGTCGCGACCTAAATGCATGCGTTTAGTGTGCGTCTCAGGTTCTATTGTTGTGCGTCGTCGTATCCATCGCTTCGTTGAATCAGAGCTACCTGCTGGTGTAATTGCTCCCCAGGGGGAATCGATTCGGGTGGTCCGGGGGGGCGGGGAGACGCTCGGAAGGAGAAGGCTATTGTTAAGCTATTGTTGGCGTTTGTTAAACCCCGTTTTTCATTTGAGTTTTTCATTCAGAGGTTGGGAGTCTTTCCGTTGAAATACAGCCGCTTGAATGAAACATTTACATTACATTACATGATGAAGGCTCTCTACGGTCCTGGCATCTTCAGAGAGCTTGTTCCACCATTTCGGAGCAAGGACAGCAAAGAGTCGTGATCTAGTCGAGTGTTTTGCTCTCAGTGAGGGAGGGACGAGCAGTTTTGCAGATGCAGAGTGGAGAGTCGGGATGTCGGGTTAACCATGTCCTGGATGTAAGCTGGACCCGATCCATTCACAACATGGTACGTGAGCACCAATGTTTAGAAATGGATGTGGGCAGCCACCGGTAGCCAGTGAAGAGAGCGGAGGAGTGGAGTAGTGTGGGAGAATTTCGGAAGGTTAAAGACCAGTCGAGCTGCTGCATTCTGGATGAGCTGCAGAGGTCGAATGGCGGTGGCAGGGAGACCTGCAGGAGGGAGTTGCAGTAGTCCAGGCGTGAGATGACAAGATCCTGAATTAGTACCTGGGCAGCCCTTTCAGTAAGTAGAGGACGTATCTACAGGATCGTGTTGTCGCAGTAATGTTGGGAGTCCGGGAGAGTTGGCTGTCGATTGTGACGCTGAGGTTCCTCGCGGTTAAAGTGGGCGTTAGCACGGAGTTCCCAAAGTTGATCGTCAGGTCCTGGGTCGGCGAGTCTTTTCCTGGAAAGAGTAGTTCAGTCTTGTCTCGGTTGATTTTCAGATGGTGGGCGGACATCCACTGAGAGATGTCAGTCAGACAGGCAGAGATCCGAGCCGCCGCCTGGGTCTCCGAGGGAGGGAAGGAGAGAATTAGTTGGGTGTCATCGGCATAGCTGTGGTAGGAGAAGCCATGCGAGCGAATGACAGCGCCGAGAGAGTTGGTGTAGAGCGAGAAGAGAAGGGGACCCAGGACGGAACCCTGAGGAACTCCCGTAGTAAGAGGACAAGGTTCCGACACAGATCCTCGCCAGGTTACCCGGTAGGTGCGGCCGTCGAGGTAGGACGAGAGAAGGGAGAGAGCAGAACCTGAGACACCAAGTTCCTGAAGGGAGAAAATAAGGATCTGGTGGTTGACCGTGTCAAATGCAGCAGAGAGGTCCAGAAGGATGAAGACAGAGGAGAGCGAGGCGGCTCTAGCAGCGTGGAGTTGCTCTGAGACAGCGAGGAGAGCAGTCTCTGTGGAACGGCCTTGAAGCCTGACTGCTGGGGGTCAAGGAGGTTGTTATGGTGGAGATAGGAGGAGAGTTGGTTAAAGTACGTTCAAGAGTTTAAACAACGTGCTGGAGCCGTCTGTCAGCCGCTCACGTCTCTGCGTGTCAAATATAAAACACTGAAGGTCTGCTAATGGAAAACGCTAAGCATCAACCCCATTGTTGCATTATTGATCTGCTTTTCTCATCCCTTTTGTTCTGCAGATGGACTTGGACTTTCGATCCGAAGATTTGGCTCATCGCGGGAAAGAGGCCGAAAGAAAAAAAGTAAGAAAAGCAGACCTGAAGGCGGCTGCTTTTCTTTTCATCTGTGTGATCTTCGGTGGGTATTTGAAGTGAGACAGCATCGGTTTGACGCACCGACGGTCTCACAGACGCAACGCCGCGGCGTTCTTTCGGGCCCCGCGGGGGCCGAAGCGCTGCAGCATCAGGGAGCCACGGCTCCACCAATCAGCTTTAAAAAAAAAGATGTAACACTGCTCTGCACGCAGACTGATACACAAAGACTGTGTGTATAAATAATGTGTTCTTCTTGGTATGAGATGTGTGCGCTCACACACACACACAGACACACACACACAAGAGGCCGTGCTGCATCTGCAGCTTACATGCAGGTGTAGGACCTCGTGTTTGCAGCTATCGTTGCCTTTGTAGAGACATTCGGCCCCTTGAAGCAGAGACAAGGGGACTTTTTAGCTGTCCGGCCCTTTTAGTGGTCGTCTCTGCGCGGTGGGCCGGAACGTTATTTCTTTTCAAAGACGAGGCTCTCGATGGAGCCGATGAGATCCGCTTCTCGAGAAGTCCGCCACGAGGCGCCTTGCTCCTCTGGAAGCTTCTACCAGGTGATCGCAGACGGCAGGCGAAGGACCCGTCACACAGCCCCGCCGATGACCTCGACAAACCTTTAAAGGACTTTGTGCTCACAGTGACTCAGGCGGAGATCTACTCTGGGATGCACGAGCCGTGGAAACAGAACCCCGGGAGGCTTTTCAAAGTTACCCGAGAATCAAAATGATGGATTGTGCTCGCGGAGGAGGAAGAGCCCGGGACGGGAAGCTTCCGGCTGCATCTAAAGTCCTAATTTATTCACGTCTCTCAAAGAATACGACGCTCCGTCATTGTCCCCCAACGCGCGTGTTGAATTCCATACGGGGGACCTCTTGTTGTGTCACACCGATGATTCTTCCTTTACCCTCGACAATATATATATATATATATATAAATATATATGACTGCTGGCCTAAAGCAGGAAATTAAATATTAAAATCTGGGATGATTAAAGCAAAGGGGAACACTTGGTTGAATCTTTGCATCTGAGCTGGTGATATTTTGGATTTTAAAGCTCCGCTCCAGCGACTCCACTCAGCAGCTCCCGTTTCATGACCGACATAGTAAATTAGTGTCGAACGACGACGGCTTTGGAAAATCAGGAGTGAGATTTAATCTGCACGCAGCAGCGATACTCGATGAGCAAAACAAACTACACACCAGCTCGGGGGAGAATAAAACTGATATTTAAAAACTCGCCCCTTTGGTTGTTGTTCCCCGATTGACCTACAGTGTTTTATTCACTGCTTTGTCCTTGAGAAAGTTTCAGATGAATGCTGCTGCCGAACTGCCGTGGACATCAGAGGCCCTGAGCGGTCGATATCGCGTTAGGTGTTTGCTTTGTGTCGAATGTTTTCTCCTCTTTACCTTGCTGTCAGACAGCCTCGTTGGCTTTCAGCACTAGAGTTTTTTTTTTAGCATCACCACGCATCGACATGCGAACACACTTTGATAAGGACTTTGGGAAATTAGCATTAGCATCCAGGTTTGAGTACAGAAATACACAAAAAACTCCACGTCTGGTTTAGCGCTGCTTCACATCCGGCAAGAACCAAAAGAAAAAATCGCGAGGAGAAACATCTGCCGCCAACGATTCAAAAGCAAATGCATCGTCTTCTCTTCAGAGGGGCGAATACCTGCAAGCTTCCCCGGTCGCGGGCGCCGTCGGCGGACACGAGGAGGCCGTGCTCCTGCAGCGTCTTGAACCGCAGCGCCAGCCTGAAGTCCAGGCGGTCCTCGTCCATCTGGTGGAGGTACCTCAGGTAGGACTTACCATCGAACCTCAGCGCCGACTCTGCAGCAGACAGAAGCAACAGAGGACGAGATTGGCATCGCTTTTCTTTTCTTTTTAAAACTAACCTTAACTTAGAACTAAACACTGGCGAGATAAAATCTTGATCTTCGTATCTCTTGGTATCTCTTGATATCTCTTGCATGAACTAACAAATAGATGAACTAATACTCCACAGCCTCGCTTGAATACTTAGATGTTCGTCAGCGTGGTCATGAGCATCACACGGTGCATTCTGGGTGATTACGTCGCAGAAAAACTGCAGATGCTTTTGATTTAACCTCCAACGATTTAAAAGGCTTCAAAGAAGAAAAAAAACATCATAAAAGATTTAAAAACAAATTCTGTTCATTTCGGGGAAGGTGATTCAGTTTAAGGACGAAACATCTTTGAACGATGACGCGTTTCAATAAATGTTCTCTGAATATAAACTCTGTCATTGTGAAACCTCCATTCGGTGATCTCACATGTTAGAAGCTTCTAAGTGCAACGACGTTTTTTAACATTTCAACTCACACATCAGGCCACATCCCAGTGGGGGCCTGGCAACATGAGACCAGAACAAAATGAATCCTAATCATAACAACGATATTCTTTTTTTATTGCTTATTTGTCATCTATTTGTGTTTTATTTAAGAGAATTTATTTTGCACTTGCTTAAACTTTTGTTTTGCTTCTAAAATTCAGTCTCCAACTCCGCCGCCGCATCGGAACCCGCGTAAACCTCCTCGCCCCCCCCCCCGCCACCCCCCCCTCCTCCCCCACCAGGCGTACCGTTGCAGGGGCAGACGCTCTCCCAGGCGTGGCCCGGGGTGATGAAACCGGCTCTGGCGGTGGTGAAGTGGCTCACTCGCTCCGCCGTCAGCCGGACGGCGTTCCTGCAGCACCGCGGCGGGCAGCCGGCGCCCACACAGCCGTTGTGGCTCACCCCGAGGATGCTGAGGCCCAGAGAGTGCTCGATGTCCGATAAGATACCTGCGTCAAAGGGGGGGGGTCGGGGGTTTCAGAGCTGCACATTCATCTCACGGGACTTCCCGACATTCGGCGTGCGCAAATGAAGAGGAGGAAGAAACGCAGGTGACTAACTAATTAGCGATGTGTTCAGGCGCGGCTACGTCTGCCTCATTTAACGTCAGCCACCAACGTTCAGCCACGCAAAGCGGGTTTAACATCTCAAACAGTCCATCGTGTATCGCGTATCGCTAATCGATCTCTCACCTGCGAGCTTGCTGGTCGGCAGAGCCTTGGCTCCTCCCCTCTGAGGCCTCCAGACCAGCAGGGCCTCCAGGACCCGGGAGTCCGGTACCTGCTGCAGGCTGGCCAGGTGGAGCTCCTGCCTGGGCAAACCCAGCGCCTCCCCCAGGTTGCGCTGGAGGCCCCTCCAGTGGTCCCCCAGAAACTCCTCCGGCGACAACCCGCCCAGCCGCAGCGTGAGGCCGGAGTCCAGCGCCCGCTGCCCCGCCGCCCACACGTGAACTCTGACCCCGGTCCAGGCGCTGAACTTGCCGTCCGTCACGCTGACGTTCAGCGAGTAGGAGCCCTCCCCCAGGGTCTCGTCCGCCCAGATTTTGCCGTCGGCGACGTCGACGGAGAAGCGGCCCCCGGCCGGGTGCTCCGGCGCCAGGCGGTAGGCGAGGACGTCCTGCGGGTCCTGGTCGGAGGCGTGGAGCCGACCCACGAGCCGGCCGGCAAACGGCCCGCCGGAGGTGGTGACGAAGACCTCCAGGGGCACGACGGAGGGGGGGTACTTGCTCTGCTCGCTCACGTTGATGTTGACCACGCAGATGGAGGAGAGGGGGGGGTGGCCGCTGTCCGTCACCTGGCGGGCGAAAGCAGAGGAGTCGGCGTGAGACGCAAAGATCACAGCCAGGACATTATTTGTTTGGCGAATCCAGCCGGTCGGCCTCCAGATCCGCGCTCGCAGGTTTGTTTCCCCAGCGGGACACTCGAGATAACGAGCGTTTTAGGAAATAAGAAGAAAAGCTGTTTAATTGTTCTGTTGCTTTGCTATAAAGACAAAACTTTAAACGCTGCGTCTGGACCTTTTGGAATTTGAGCGGCTAAAAAAAAAATGCATTTAAAGCTTTTAATTCAGCAGTTTTAAATCCCAAAACATTTGAACCAGCCAACAGTAAATCCAAGCAACGGCAATCCACTGTTGTGCTGATTCAGCTGCACTAGAAATAAGTTGAGTTTGTCTTGTAAATCTTTAAAAGCCGTAACCTCGTATAACCTTTGTATTTCCAGCGGATTTGAAAACTTTCTCTATAACAAGCTTTGTTTTGGGGACACCTTGCTATGGATCCAGGGGGTAAAGACGGGGCATTGATCTGCACCCTGACGTCAGCTCAACCAGCCGGACGTGAAGAATAAACACTTGTGTTCGCTAAACCTCGTCTCTCTCCCGGGTGCAGCTAAAGCCGACGGTCCGAGTGGTCAGTTCGGATTCACCAAATCACTCCAGTTCTGCGCCGGGTGAAACGTGGAAGTAAAAACAGGTGCACGTGGATCACCTGTATCTTCAGCTGGTGGTGGGGCTTGACTTTCCTCCTGAGCGGCGCGGCGAGCGACAGCAGGCCCCCCTGGTCCACGTGGAAACGGCGGTCCTCGTTGCCGCTGACGATGTGGATGGAGAAGGGCGGCCCGTTCCTGGGCGTGTCTCTGTCCGTCACCACGAGCTGGAGGACGCCGCTGCCGACCGACTCGCCCTCCTGCACGACACACCAGGTAAGGTTAATTATACTCCAAAGGAGAACTACTTCAACACACCTGCTGGCCTTTCTCCACCGTGGCGCATTGTTAGGTGATCAGTGTTGTCGCCCCGATTCTTTCCACTTCATTGAAGTTTTGACAGGATTTATCCTTTTTCAAAGTGTTTATTCAATGATGCTTCGGCTCAGAGCGAGAAGGCTGCAGCCTTAAGCTGTAATGTCATCATATTCATATGATAATTCAGTCACTGATCTGCACTGAGTTAAAATCTTCTAAATACTTTGTGCTCTACAAACTCTCACTCACGTTTCCAGACACTTTAATCTTTTGGTTCCAATGTTCTAACATTGTACAACAACGTAGCGTATCGATCTTCAGCAGCTCCGAACATTAAAAGTTCAGAGGTTTGAAAAATGCTCCTTGGCAACTGCACATAATGAAGTTCTCTTATGGTTCCCCGTGATGGATTACCTATCCCAAGATCTCCGTGTGGGAACTTTCATGCGCCCGCTGACATTAATGGAACGAAGTAATCAATCTAAAAAAATGTACAGCCTGCTTTGGGCAGCAGTTTTAAGGCGATGGGCTAAAACATTCACTTCTGGTGTCTTTTAAATCTCAATCTGAGCACACTAAAAGGACGGCTTTGTCAGAGTGAGAGGAATGTTAAGAGGGTTGGATTCACGTTCCCCACAGCAGATGGAAGACCTCTGACCGTACGGGACGACGCTCGTCCCTTTGATTCAGTTGTGAGGCTGTGGTCGGAACTTTAACACCAAAAAATGATCCTGCAGCACCTTTGCATTCAACTTTTTAAATGACAGAATGACTCAGGAGGAAGTTATGTCAGTCAACAGCATTCAAAGCCGCTCTGTGTGGAAGTTTATTATGATTTGTTGGTAGGAACATCTGATGTTTTGATATAAAGGCCTCTCTAAATGTTGAGACGCAGTAGAGACACACAGCAGAGTCTTCTAGTAAACCTTGTGGACCATTTTTTTTATCAATAACGAAATGTAATTGATGAAGTGAGTACTACAAAGTAGTTCCATTTAACCTCCGTTAGAAGGGTTTGGGTGCAAAAACAGATAAAAAACACTGAAGCTGAGGGGTGACCTCGGACTTATTTTTACCGCGTCGACTTCAGCGAATCCCCAGAATTCATTTTTATTTAAGATCAATAGTCCTGCTTTAACACACACGCAAGAACTAGAGCTCAGAAGCTTTTTGACCAATCGCGACGTGCATCGGGCCATTGGGTCCGCTGTGCCTCTGTGCAGGCGGCTGTAATGAGCCTGCTCCTGTCCTACCTGCAGCAGCAGGCTGTGGTTGACCCGGGAGAAGACGGGCGCGTTGTCGTTGACGTCGGCCACCGAGATGGCGATGAGGACGGCCGAGGACAGAGGAGGGTCCCCTTCGTCTGCCGCCTGCACCGTCAGAGAGTAGTGAGGCACCTGCGGAGGAGACGGAGGTGGTCGATTGGGCCCTTTTTTTTTTCTTCTTCCAGTCGTGCATTTTGAATCACCGCGAACGCAGACGCAGGCCGACCTCCTCTCTGTCCAGCGAGGTGCGGACGGTGATCTCTCCGCTGCGAGGGTGAATGGAGAACTGCTGCAGGGCATCTCCGCTCACTATGGAGTAACGCAGCAGATTGTTGACGGGGCCGTCCCGATCGCTGGCCGTCACCTGGGAGGTGGAGAGAGGGAGGCGTTGACCCGGAACAGCACCCAACAGACACACTGGTAAAGTAGGCCCAGGGGTCGTGGTTACCTACATCGTCTAGAACAAACTCCCGGTTGGATGTGAAAGACGTTAAAAGGCGATGGACCAAAACAAGACGCGGATGCCCTCCCCGTGGAGATAATGTGACAAGACCCGAGCTAATCTGCCGCCACAGATTCATTTGTCAGACTTGACCATAAAAGCACGTTCTCAGCTTGCTTTTCTCTTCACGGCTTGATGGCGTGACGGAAGACTCCCTCAGAGCCTTTAAAACGTGTCAAATGTTTTACGGTGTCGCAGTCGAGTGGTGAAAACAGAAAGATGGAGGCGCCGGGCCCCCGAGTGGGCGGAATGTGGCCATCAGCCAGCCGCTGAGCTGCTGATAGATGAAGGCCGACGTGTTGTCACAGCGCCGCGTGTGTGTGCGTGCATCTATTAAAGAATCCCTTTGTAACTGTCACTTCCACCACTTCTCTACACACCCTCGGCCTCCTGCTC